TTTTTAGAAATTTACTCCCTTTTGTGCAATTTAAATTTTATTTTTAATATTAAGTTAGATTGATCTTAATATTATAAGTACGAATTTCCTTTTAATTAATAATCTTTAGCAGAAAGTAACTTACCAAAAAAACTGATAAATAATATGCATGTATTGGTAGTTGACCATAATAATCGGGATTTTGCAAATATTTTCATTACCATATTCATCTATCTATATCTATATCTATCTATCTATCTATATCTATATCTATATCTATATCTATCTATACTATGATAAAAGAGTTAATGAATCTGTAAAAATATGTTTTGCCTAAAATATACTTACTTTATCATATTTGTAATGGCAAATTTTTAATTTAATTCTTTAACATTTCTAAAAAAAAAGGCAGTCCACTCCTTCTAAGTAGAAATATTGTCAACACTCAACAACCTAAACGAACGCGTTCACATGTGGAATTATTTTTTTCATAAATTAAAAAATTAAATAATAACAAGTTTTAAAAATTAAAATTTCTTACGTAAAAAATAAAATCCAAATTGTAATACGCTCAATTAATGATAAAAGCTACTGAATAAAATTTATTTAGCTACACTAAATTAAAATTTTTAATAGCTTAAAAAAGTAGGACTCTAATTTAATGTTATACATAGTAATGCATACAAAACTATAATAATAGTTTTATTTTTCTGTGATAATAGAGTGATATCACAAGCATAGTGCTAAAAACTTGAACATGAAGATCACGTTAATTATTCAACATTCATTAGAATATTATAATTGCATTACTCATTATTATTTTTGTTACAAAAAATTTCGTTTTGATGTGAAGGTCATATTAAATATTTGACAAATATATGAAATAAAGTAATAGTTATCTATTCATATAAAATAAAATATATGTATCTTTCAATACTTATTTACAATAATAGATTTTGTCAAATAAATAACACGGAGGAGTGATTGTTGGAATCTGATCAAATATTTTTAAATATTTAAATAAGGCTGTAACTTTTTTGAAATACTATTTACAACCTTATTTGTGCATTGAGCGCATATGTGAAATGACTCTAGAGTGCATTCTTTCATACAACATGTGGCAATATGCATCAACAAGAAGTACATTATGCAAAGACCATAAATAGTATTGACATTTACTTGGAAAGTATTAGGAAAAGATATAAGTGAATACGATTTTTTAAATATCCCATATATTTAATAAACGTGAATGATAACATTTATTAAGAAGTTCGAGATGAGTTATTGGTAAATGTATATTTTGAAGACTATGCGATAATAGGTACATTTATCGTTCCTTAACATAAAACACTTTTAATGGTTTTAGATCGTATAAAAAGTTATGAGGCAATATATTCTTTCTTGAATGGTAAGATGGAATTGAAAGAAACACTTTTATAGTTTCATTTTTAGCTCTTCTTTGATCCAAAATCGTGGTACAACATTTGCAACCACATTATTTAGATACATTGCTAACTACCACTTGATTTAAATGAAGGAAATAAATAGTATGTCAAAATAAGTGAGTTGATAAGTTACTGCATAAGACATAATTAAGATGATGGGCGATGAAATACATTGATTTTTCAGTGAAAAATGTATTAAAAATAAAAATTATTTTAGTTGGAAAGTGGTAATTTTTGTGGGAATTGTCAACAAGGTTTAACAGTATTCTCACAACCACAATCCAATAAAGTAGTGTTATATGTTTGACCAAGTAAATTTGTGGCCCAAAATGAAGATTTTTTTAGTTGATAGACATGAGATCAAGAAATTATCTACACTTTTATGATGACATCCAAAACAATAACCAAATTATATCGAAAATAATTATACTACTTTTATACTTATTTAATGACAACTATCTAAATAATGATCAATATATATGATTAAATTATTTATTTTTATATTATTTCGTCTCATAGTTATCTATTAAACTTGAAAAAAATAATATTAATACAACTGGTAAAAATTATACATGACACATAAATAATAATAATATATATATATATATGATATTTAATATTATTTTATATAATAAATTTTATTGATATGATTGAAATAGAAAATCATGATATAATCAACAACCTTTAAATATGTGTGCAGAAAACTTCTAAAGCAAAATATGAAAATTTATCATCCAATCATCAGCATGAGAGAGTTGTCGAATCTATATTATAATTAAATTTTATATTTAGCTATTTTATCTTCTTTCACTAGAAAGTCATTTTCCAAAAAGAACTCATCTTATTCTTTTTTATTGTTATTTATTCTCTCATTAACATTATTAATAAATTAATTATTTCTATTTATTAGCAAAAAATTAGGCACCATGTGCATCACGTGCACTTTACTAGTCTGCTAAAAAGAGAAAAAATAATCGCTATTTTCGTTTCCCTCTACTGTTTCGAACAGATCCAAAAGAAAAAAAGAAAAAATAAAACTGTGTTCATCTCCTTATTTTCATCAATGGCCAAGAGAAGGCCAACATGATAGTCCGAGCAGTTGTGAAGATGAGGCTATATTAATCTGTTCCAGAACTCGTTCAACAATCCAAAATCAAGCAGCGAAACACAGGGTCGTCCAAAAGAAGCTTCAATTTCAGAAAATTTTTACTAAAAGAGGTTAAAAAAAGCAGACATTCGAGGCACCTAGAAATTACTCGAAGTAGACTCCGAAAACAATGACGATTTTGTGTCCGAAAAAAAAAACTGTGGCACTCGACCACCGACCACCGAGAGAAAGAGGTGACCCAACTTCACCGTTGTCGGACCCAAAAGGGCCGGTCGAGAATCGCAAGCACGAAATGGGTGACGACTACAACGCCAACGCCTAAGTTTATTCTCTATCCACCTATTTTTATCCTCACCATCAAACTGGACAAAAGAGTATAATATCATCCATCTTCATCTTTATCTTGCCCATACCCTGCAAATATTCATAGCATCATTTCTCTCAATTTAGTAGAGTTGTTTTTATTTGGTGATAAATTACACGTGCAGATTTTGCTTTCTGAAAATTGAAAGAAAAAAAGTTTGCTGGAATTGAAAAAGGAAAAAACAAAATTACTCATGGGATTTATAAGGGTGAAAATTGGAAGTGGAGAAGNACACGCAGCTTCTGCATGGCGAAGATGAAGATAAATGAGAAAATTATTGATGCCAGATTTTGATGGAAATTCACTGACTTGTTGAAAATTCAGTCTTACTTTTCTCTTTTCGTGAAGTTTAGACAAGACAAGAAGACAGAAGGTGGTGGATTATTGTTTTTTTCCTTTGTTTTAAAACAAGCTCTGATAAATAAGCGAACTTAACAAATTTTAATAACCACCAGTTGTGCGATGTATAATCGAATTGTTATTTTAACGCAAAATCTGCTATGTGAGTGTCCACAACAGAGGCCCCCAACCAGTGGAGGATTGGCTAACAAATAACAAGTATTACCTGTGGCAAAATAATTTTTGTACCACCTCAAAATGAGGTTCTCATGATATCATCAATTTAACGAGTTCTTATATTCAGAAGATTCATAGATAGTGAATGCCCACTAGCAGTAGCTCAAAATGAATTCAGCCATTCAATTTAACGGCCTAATGTCAGAGTTACATACATCTGTTCCCAATTTTTACAGATCTGCATTCAAAATATACAGTTTTACCTTCTCCATTTTCAAATCGAAAGGGTTTAATGAGCTATACAATCAAATCAAATCAAATCAAAAACAAATTAGCATTGCATAAAACAATATGAAGCCCATACAAAGGGCAAGTTGGTCAAAACACACGCATTACATCCTCACTCAATCGGAGATAGAAATGCTGTGTAATAACCATCACCATACTTCAGTCCTTTCATAAAGCCCGAATTTCTCTGGAAGGAGACAGTCGTATTTGGAATACTAAAAGAATTATCATTTTCTCGCAATTGTTCATCAAATGCAGCTAGGTGAGATGATTGGTGGTCCTTGATTATTACGTCTAGACCAACATTCAAACCATTTGTGGTCGACTCAGTCGAAAAACTGCAAATAAACAAAATAATGGAAAGGCATGGAACCGAAAAGAGTAGTCATGTACAAGTACCAATATTCGCTCAGTCAAATTAAAATAGGACCTAAATTGTTTTAAGAAACAACCATGATTCAAGCAATAACGAGATTTCGGGATACCTGGCTTCAAAGTCACCTCCATTAGATAGCATAGCATTGCAAATGCCAGAAATGACCCATGGAGGAAGATATGCATCCTTGATTTCAACACTATAGCATATTCCACTACCCGAACTTTTAGGTTCGCTGTCTGTATTAGAGTTCTTTAGCCGAGAAGACAAATAGTCAATCCTCCTTACCTGTTTGCATCTAACCTGCATAATAAATATGGAACTGATGGAATACACCAGAAAAAGAGATTGGATTGGGAAGTGTATCGCGCCACATACTGAAGCATGCATGGCAAATATCGTGCAGCAATTCTTAGGTTAATTTTACACTTCTCTTGCCAATTCCTATACAAGTAAAATATAACAATAGGAAAACCATGGATAGTCAGAGAGTTGAATTGAATAGACTGATTATGAACCTAACCTTTCAAATCAGGAACTATTTTAACAATTTACAAACTTGCTGCAGTTTATCAACAGCTTATAACAGCTACAGTTCAACATCTACAATTGTTTCTATTGAGTATACATGATGCAAGTGGCTTTCTTGATAACAATGACCATCAGCTATTTTCCACAAACTACATAATAATAGGCCTACCTCAGGAGTCGAAAGAGCGGCATTCTCAAAAGGAACTGGTGAATACAGCACAGGGACATCACCACCATTCAAAGAAGTTAAGAAAGATCTAAAAAAACAGAGAAATTTCAGATAAAGACAACAATTGGAGAATGTTGATTAAGTATTTCTAACATTTCTTGCCAAACAAAAAGTACATAAACAAGCAAATGTCATACACCAACCTGTAATTCAATAGAAAATCATACAACGCATGTACATTCTTATTCCCACTGAACATCAGTAGGGATTGTGGAGTGTTATCAACGCCAATCAAGGACTCTATAGCTCGAGTCTGTGACAGTCAGATAAAATATAGATTATAATTGCACACATTAGATAATGAAAGGACTTGACTAAAGCTAATGACCTTGAATGTATAGCATGAGAAAGACAACTTTACATCTCTAGTTATGAACAATAGCAGCATCCATGTAATGTGAAACTAACAACTTGTACATTGTTAGTTATGAACAAAAGCAGCATCCATGTAATATGAAATTAACCAATTTTGTGGCTAGCTCTCAAAATTATTGAAAACATGGGATAAGTTAACGTCCTTGAAAAGTGTAGCTAATGGATTTCTTAACAGAAAAATGATTCACACTTTTCGTCACGCAAGATGTCAGATGCTTAATCATTTTTTACCTAATAGGCGCTATTCCAAGATTTATATTTGGCGTAAATGGAAAAAGTTACACACCTGGCCAAGATTGTGTTTCTCAATATGAGAAAGTTCAACAATGTCTTCTGCAGTAACTTCTTCTAATTTAGAGGAACAAAGAGGCATTGAGAAAGAAACATCCTGAAATCAAAAAATAAAATGCAGAAAATCAAATTTTGATATTTCAACTAAACTGGGTTAAAAGAACACTCACAAAGTAACAGAAAAGGAGATCCAAGAGGCTAGAAACATGAAATCAAAATTAATAGACAAAATTCCGTTTATGCAATTTATGACACAGTTTTAAGTTTCTACAGAAAACTCGTCTTTATGGATAAAGTAAGACTTACATGTTCTTTCAGAAGTGACCTTAAGTTTCTTGTCGACTGAGATACATATGCATAGCAAGAGGACCTGATTTTGCTCGCACCATCATATGCAGTGAACATAACTACGAACAGAGGACAGCACACTGCAAATTTTGAGGGGAAAGAAAGAAAATGAATATAACACATTAACACCCAACAACAAAAACAAATTTGTTTAACATTGTATTTTTATGCAAACAAAGGAAAATTGATGATCGTGTAAAGAGACTTGGGGTGACGGAATTCAGATGAATATGTCAGTTCATATTTAAGAGCTCAAACATAAATTCTCTTGCAAACATAATAGAACATAAGTTTGATTTAGTTAAATGATGCAAAGGGAGGATAAACTGCAACAGCCAATACTGTTGGCATGCTCAATGGAAAGCCATGACCTTATCTACTGGTACCAGATGTAACACTGCAGTTACAAGGACACACATATTTTAAGAGTCTTCTCATAATGGATGCTCATAACATAACTCCAAATTACGAGATCAGTGAAGAAAATATACTGGCATAAGAGGTAGCCAAATGCTACCCATAATCGCATCACTCCTTTGAAGAAGAGTAGAAAAATAATTAGCAAAAGATGGTTGGTCATTACCATAAAAGAGTTTACAGATTTTCTTCCTTAGCATGTAGTAAAGACTTCGAAATGAATCTTCCCATGCCTGCTGCCGTTTGCTTAGGAAGTCTGTTTTCCCTTGATCAATAATAAACAATAAACAATATTTAAAATGAAGGAAAAGGAGAGAAAGAAGTATGAAAATATATAAAAAGAAAGTGAAAGAAATTTAAAAGAAAATACCTCCTGGCGCAGATGCCAATGCTGATATAGCTGCCTGAGGTAAAGTGGATTGAGGATACATCCATGAACCGGATTGGCTTGTGGAGGTAGGTTCTGACAAGCAGGTAACACCTGGAATTTGATAACCAACGTTTGAAAATAGACCCCTACTTTTTGTGGTGACATTAATTAACCTATGAAACCTGTAAACCACGAACATGAAGAATAATGACTGACCACACAAGTTGGCATCTAGGTAAATAAGCACAGTACTGAAAAAATTATACAATTTTAATTACATCAAGTGGATAAAATAAGCACTTCAAGTGATTGGACTCCAGTCAACAAAATGAACTTCTAAATTATAAAAATAATATTCCACAGGAATTTGGCTGTAATGTAGAATGCATGCTTTAAAAAATTTCATAAATTATTTTCACTCTAATCAAAGTTTAATCTTTCTCAAAGCACATTAAAATTCAATAGTGATTCTGAAATCTAGTTGTAACAAACATCCATCAGACCCTTTCTTTTCAGGCTCATTCATTCTCTACTTCTATTGCACTAAGATTATGAAAGTGGCTGATAGATATATGGAAGAAACACTATAGAAATTTCCTAGTCAATGGATGTTTTTAAAGGCATATTTTTTCGATTATAACGGAAATTAAAAACTTAATATGGTAAAAAAAATCAAAAGGAAAGCATCCCACAAACATCACCTGATCCAATTTATAACAAGCTTGGCCACTTGGGTACTGGTAGAAATTTCGTGGTCCATGGATATTTTTATGACACATTTTTTCTACTAAAAAGGGAAAAAAAACTTACAATGGTAAAAAAATCTGTAGGAAAGCATCCATAATATAATAAATCCAATTTGTGACAGGCTTGGCCACTTGGGTGTCAGGATGTGCGTTTTGCACATCATAATTCATAAATTGACAGCAAACCATACAAAATATCACAGAATCATCAACGAGAATTTTTGTTAGCATGTCACAACACATAACCACAAAAGACAAGTCTTAAATTTTCTCATTATAGCACAGAAAAAAGGCGCTTATTTTTGAACATGTAAAGTATGTGATTTATGAATGAGATTACAACATCTAGATGGTACTAATACAGGCTACTAGAAAGATCAAATAACTTACCAAATCACAGGGATTGAAGATTGCAATCTCATGGAAGTTTTAAGGGTTAAATCAAGCGGAATCTTGGGCCCAGATATATGGATTTCCGAACAAAAGCTATGTGACACAATATTTCCTGTTCTATCTATAGACTCGGGAAGTGGAGCTGAAACAGCACGAGATTCACATGAAACAAGTCCTCTCAATGCTTTACCCTGAAAATGAAGAATAGAACTTTACACTCTGACCTCAATATATTCCATTTAAGTCCAAGATAAAAGTTATAGCAAAAGAATACCATATCTACAAATGAGGAGCCATTTAACTTTTCACCACCCAGTGATAGCTCTTTAACACTTCTAAAAGTATTATGAATGCATTTTCCAGTTGAGTTGTTATTTTGATTGGAAGAGTGCTTTCCACCTTCTGAATCCACATTATCCACACTTGAAGGGAATACGTAACACAAATTGTCCAAGTAAGAAACTTAAAACCACAGTTAAACCATGATTGACTCAGGTAAAAATCAACCATACCACAAGTTTTGCCCTTGTTTTTCATCTAGTTCCACTGGGAAACTTGAATGTTTCATGTTGTTGACGCACTTGCTAGGAAGATCATCCTGCCAACAGTCCATCACAAAATAAAAAATATCAATCACCAAAAGTTGAATCTAACATTCTTCAAACGACATGAATAGTATGTTGTTCAGATTAGGCCTAAAAAGAAAGTCTCAACCTTAGAAGTTCCCTTTCTAGGAAGCAGCCTACTGATTTTAGTCACTGGAAAATGTTCATCCATTCGTATAAATCGTGGTATTTTCGAAGAGTCCGATTTGCTGGCTCCAGAAACTGCTCCATCTGCATTTCTACACAAAGCAAAGGATTTACTGCAAAGTATATCAAGAGTCATTCAAGAAAAAGTACAGTAAAAAGTTGTACCTCGTGAAACTAGGAATGGAAGGAGATTCATCTGCAAACTCCACTGGATTCTTAAGCTTCAGCAGTTCCCCCTACCACATAAACAAAAGATAACTATACTGACAACAATAAGATAACAATCTCTATTATATGCAGCTTTGACGTGGGCCTTTTCTCATTCAAAATTGTGGACAGCCCTTCAGCTTTATAAGATTGTAAAGTCAATAAGTTTTCGAAAGACACTATTTAACCCCAAACATGAATGAGAAGAACAAAACTCACTTAATCCCATCCTATTTTGCCTCATTGCGTTTTAAAGACACAATTTAACCCCAGGCATGAATGAAAAGGGCAAAACTAACTTAAAGCAACTAATAGACTACAACAACAACAACAACATACCCAGTATATTCCCAACAGGTTGGGGTCTGGGGGTCAATTGTACGCAGACCTTACCCTTGTAATTATACAAGGAGGCTGTTTCCGTAGCGACCCAAGGTGCATTGCGCCGTTGATATATATTTTTTTTTTTTTCTAGAAACTTCACTAATAGAAGAAGCACTAGAATTTAATTGAGCCATTAACTCATACAAAATCAATCTGTCAGCTTTCAGAGTCATACTGTGTCTAAAGTAACAAACTCCCATAGCCACAGAGATAAGTATAAGTATCTAACAGAAAACGAAGTATTTCATGATCATGGCTGGAATGTTTTTTTACCCGCAACTCAGATGGAGTTTTTCGCTTCAATGTGGTGGTTGAGATCTTAGATGCCCCACCTCCGCCAGCCACGCCGCCAAAATGAAGATCATTAGACGCAGGCAATTGAGCGGCCACAGCGACCTTAGTCATCCCGTTCTCGTCCTAAGCGCAACTGATGCGTGCAACAGTAACTACAACTCTACATATATTTTACATTAAATTGCAGGGAAACGGCTCAAATCCGGAGAAACAATCGTATACATGGATTGTTGAGGGGCAAAATCAACTAGGGTTTCAAAATAAGTTACGTTTTCCTCTCGATTTGACTTGAGGGACAGCGGCTCAATTAAATAGACTGTGGGACGTGAGAGAGAGAGAGAGAGATGGTGGAATGCAATAAATTCATTTTGAATATTTTGGGTTCCCTCCTATGCCAGTTAAGTTAAGTCGCCGTTAGTTGATGGCAATGTAGTTTATTACTAGTGCAGAGCCCGTGCGATGTACGCTGGTCCACAATTTTAAGGTTATTTATTCAGATTTATAATTATATAAATGAATAAAAAAATGTACGGGATATATATAGTACGTGACCCGTGCGGGACACGTTTATTTGGGGAATATTATGTTATAACATTGCAATATTAAATAAAAGTTTTATAATACGTAGGAAAATTGTACAATAAGATAGTATTGGACAAAGAAACAATCATATATTATTAAAGACCTGCTTGTACACAACATTATGAGTTTGATTATTGGACAACTCGTCATTCTCACAAACTAATATTTTCAACATCTTCTATTAGTTACACGCGAAACAACAACATATAATTGGCCATGACTTTCATTAGAAAAAGACCAACGTACGATGAAACTGTCCTTGACTCTTGTTTATGGTCATGGCATACGAATCATAAGTGGGAACTGCCGGCGCTGGAACTTAAATGGAACCCTAAGATCAGAAGGAGTAATATTCATTCTAGGAATCAACACTTTTTCGCTAGCATGATCACTCGTCAATATCTTGCATTCAAGCACATGAGCGGAGAGTTTGGTGACAACCAATCGTGTCCCATTGCAGAGTCCCATAGAATGATCCATGTTCCGCAACAACATGACTGGAGTTCCTATCTTTAAATGAAACTCATGGTTCGGTGTTCCCGAACACTTGATGATATTCAAGAATTCGGGCGTCTGGAGATCTGCCAAGAAGTCGTTGCCGGAATCAGACTTAGAAGCACTGTCAGAACTCAAATACATGCGACCTTCAGTTGAGTTCATCTCCGACATGTACTGATTGTTAGACTCAACGACCTTTAACGTTGGCGCTAAAATAGCCCTATCCTTCAAACAACTTGGATTTTTAGTTGAATTCTTAAACATTGGATAGGTACTTTCCACAATTGTAGCAATTGGATCATCAGAGGTATCAAGTCTAATATCATCTGGTATATCAATAGAGGCACAACCATCATTTCATCCTCCTAAAGTACCATCTCCGATGCTAGCAATCCAATCAGCAAAGGCTGCTAGCTCGTCACGCTCGTCCGAGTCAGAAATACTTTGAAGACGCATATTTTTTGTAAGTCGAAGCACAATACAGTCCTTCCAAATGCTAGAAGCATTAATAGTTGCATCTGTCGGAAGTCTCCACCAAACACAATAGTCTTGCCTCTGAAGGGCTTGTTATTGTTAGAAGGGTCGACTGCTCCCATGACAGCCTACAGTGATGTTTGAACAACTTCAAAGCAATGTTTGTTCATCATTGGAGCCTCGTCCCATATGATGAGAGAGCATCGTATTATTAATTCTGCAAGAGGACTTGCCTGGTTGATATCACATGAAGAATTTTAATGAACATTCAACGGAATGCGAAATCGAGAATGTGCAGTTCTTCCACCAGGCAACAAAAACGATGTTATTCCACTCGACGCCACACAAAGAACAATTTGACCTTTGGATCGTAAAGTAGCAGATAACGTAAATATCTAAACACAATCAAGTTGATTGCCTGTAGCCATGCTGTAATGCATTTCCCTAAACATGTACAAAAATGCAATCAATAAAAAATTAATTTGTTTAAAAAACATGAATAATGTAAATATCTAAATATACACACAATCTCTAGAAGAAATAAGGCAAATTTTAAATCTTAAAAATAAAAAAAATAAAACCGAAAAGATATGTTTCATATTTCGAAATAAAAAAAAAAGTAAAAATAATTTGGCTTACAGTTTCATCATGCAGAACCAACTCGAGATAGGATTTGTATGTGCTGCCTAAGCCTTAGAAAAACATTCTTACAATTCGAACTTTAAGCATAGGTGTATTAGACCTATTAACTTGTTTGATTAAGCGAAATCCATGATTCATTGTTTTGAATGAAAGATTGATTGGGGATTATTTTTTTTTTCGCAGGATGTTGAAAGTGAGGAAGACGATGGCTCAATATTTTGAGATTTATAATTTATAATTGTAGAGTAGAATCAATATCTGTTAAGATTTTTAAGAAAAAATCTTGATATACGGAAATCACATTATATGTAGAGGAACAAATCAGATCAGATTTTTCATAAAATTAGATAAGATTTTTTGTACAAAGATAAGAAGGAATTTTAAATCTACACAAACTATAAATATTAGATGTATTGATTTACGTAAATCAATATCTATATAGACAACCAAACCCTTCAATTTAGGCTTGACATATGATTTATTTTTGGTAAAATCAAGATTTTATCTTCCGATCAAATCTGCATTTTTTTTGTTTTATGTACATTTTTTTTGTTGTGCCGATTTTATGGAAAAAAAAACAATTATTTAAAAATTAATTGATGGAAATAGAATGCATTAATTACCTTTGACTTTTCTTTCTATTAATTCTAGTAAATAGGATGACTCTTTATATAAGTATAGATTATGTAACTTGTGCGATGCACTATCTATATTTATTTTGGAGAATATTATAAACTGAAGTGTATTAATAAATGAAATAGTGATAATTCATAGAGAAATTGTCAACTAATAAAATATTCTTCATGACAAAAATAATATATTATTAACAACCTCTTGTTTGAACTAATATTTTTAACCATTTTCTATTACTTACACACGAAACAACAACATATAATTGACCGTGACTAAAAACCGATTTTTTAAGAACATATCAACGCACCATAAAGGTTGACCCATACTCTTCTTTATCTATTACTTACACGCAAAACGACAACATATAATTGGTCGTGATTAAAAATCAATTTCTTTAGAAACATGCCAACACACTTGTCCAGACTCTTCCTTATCTATTACTTACACAGTTACACGCGAAACAACAACATATAATTGACCGTGACAAAAACTCGATTTATTTAAGAACATGTTAACCCACGATAAAGACTGGCCGTGACTCTTAAATGGGACCCTAAGATCAGAAGGAACTGATGCCGCTGGAACTTAAATGGAACCCTAAGATGAATCTATTTATAATATGATAATTTACCTGGTAGTTCGACAAATGAGTTGTTAGTTTATCATTTTAATATCGATTACATTTGATTATCTAAATAATATTCACTAATATTTTTATACTTTTTTTTTTATCTTGTCTAAAATAACATTAAACATGAATGTTTAAAATATTAAAAACACCTAAAATGTTATATAACTTATATGAGGATTATATAAATATTTTATATTATTCTTAAAAAATGTGAGGCCACCTAAAGTTTTTTTAAATTATTTTGTAACTAAAACATGTCTAAAAAAAGTTTAATACACACACAACATGTTTAAAATATAAAAAATGTTACATGTGAATAATATGTATTAAAGTCCATTAAAATATTAGTAATTATATTCGTGAATAACATGTATTACCGTCTACAAAATATGCATGAATAATATGTATCACAACCTACAAAACATTAAGCATTACATCACTCTAATATTATGAGAGACATCTATATATAGTAGATATAAAATATAAAAACATTAGTAATGTTATAAAACTAGAGAAAAAGAGAGAGAATAGAGAAAATGTATTCTCTTAGGTACGATTTTCATTATAACTGAAGGTCCTATTTATAGGAAACTTCTGATGGCACAACTCGTAATAATACAAATACATCAAGGGCAAAATAGTCATTCACATACATTATTTTATTATTTCATAACACTCCCCCTTGAATGACTATTTTCTAAACATATTTTAACTAATTTGAATAAAGCCCAATCTGTACATCTTCAAGTGTATCTTGTGGCCATCAGGTACCGTTGCTTCAACATGTCAGGAAAACCCGGTGGGATAAAACCTGATCATCGTGAAATCATAACATTGTTTCGTCAGGAAAACTCGGTGGGACAAAACCTGATCATCGTGGAAGCACAACTTTGCTCCCCCTCAAATAGATCATCTTTAGTGGAGTATCCATGTGTGCTGCCTCGTTAAAACCTTGTCAAGAAAACCCAGTGGGAAAAAACTTGATCGAAGGAAAAAGAGTACAGCTACTCCAGTCTCTCTTATCACCGTGAGGAATCATATCATTTATCCAATAGTGCTCATGATACCATGAATATGCCTCGTTAAAACCTTATTAGGAAAAACCCAGTGGGACAAAATCCTAATGAAGGAAAAAGAGTACACTATTCATGTGAATACGCTATCCTTGTTGCCTCATTAAAAACCTTGCTAGGAAAACCCAATGGGACAAAACCTTAGCCAAGGGAAAAAGAGTACAACGCGTATTTCATATATTCACCATAATAATCTTTCCATAATTTGTATGAGTATCATATAAATTCGTTCAGATTTTCAGATACTGATGGTATTCATGACAATATGTCATATCATGCTTTGTGCAACGTTTATTCTTAAACTCATTCTCATCATCAATTGATTTCAATGGTGTTACTGCCAATAGTTCCCAATATTCACATTTCAGCTGATTTCATTCTCGTCAATATCATTTATATAGCGCTATTCATTTGTTTGTGTCGACACTTATTCATTTCCATTATTCCCCGTAGTATATTGAGATATCTCATTATCAATTGATTTCAACAATAGTAAATATACCCTCTTTCATCACTTATTCGGGGAATTTCAATTTGCACAATACCAATGCTTCCAGCGTATTATTCCACTATCATATCATTTCATATAATTCATCATCATCAGTATCATATAGTTTATGATTTGCACACTTTCACTGTGATGCATATATCATTTCCAAATTTCAATCATTGATTCTCTCCCTCATCTTAACAGATTCCTGATCTGTATTTTTAGTATTGAATTTCTTGAGGGGAGTTCATATAGTCTCTATTTTGTTCTTGATTTCAACATATATTTGGAGGACTTTGAACTCATATCATTTGTAGTGTGCACATTTTTCTTTCAAGAGTTCATCATATCAGGTGAGTATATTACTAGCTTCATCACTTTCATATGACACTTATTTTCATTCTTTCATAATCATCTTGTGTCATCCTTAGATCAAACCATCTCGTAAATTCAGGTTACATGTCATATACACATTCTTTGATCAAATCATCTCGTAACTTCAGGTTACGAATCACACACATGTGGCTATCTAGTGGATCCATAATATCTAGTAGCACACATGGAGGGGTAGTGGGCCCATATATATCGTACCCCTTTCATACTCAGATTGATCATATATCGATTCACAAATATTTAGCTAGTAATATTTTTCACCAATCGGGAACAAGCATCTCATATCACAAAGAATAAGTTCATCATGCAAACCATCATCAATAATATCGGTAAACATTTTTAAAGTGATCACAATAATTCGTTGTGACATGTTTATCACAAACATTTCACATCATCTTTCGGCGGCAATAAATGCACTTTAAGTGTAGGCTCTGGTATAATATCTTTTAACCACTGTTTAAATCCAGAATCGTATCATGCTGTCTGACACACATACTTTTGAACACTGTTTAAGTCCAGAGTCGTATCTCATACGCATCATATTTTTCTATAAATTATCAGGTAATTCATTCAATTTTCTTTAACAAAGGTCCGAATTTACAAATGGATTTAGCACTCTCAAATATCCGTAAATATTATTCTTTTCTTCCGAAAAATATCATAAAAAGGATTTATCGATCTCGATTAGAAAGATTGAGGATGCTAATGAATAATGGTATTCCAAATGATGTTAGATGGTTGATCGAAGCACAAGTTCGATTGTCTGGAGAGTTTCCAAATTCATATAAATATATGCCAGGTATGGGTAAAAGTACTTATGCAAAGAAACGAAGAGCAAAAAGGTTAGGTGGATGCTTCAAATGCGCTCGATGGACTTGTGACACACGATGTATATCTGTGGGGTACGTGTCCAAAAATCGAGAAGATAAAATAACGTTTATAAAGGATGGATTGAGTAAGGAGTCTTTGGATCAAACGATTCAACAGATTCTTGAGACACATCCTAGTGGATACGTGCATCGTGAGCTTATGTCTTTATGGATTCAGTTCAAAAATGAAGAAGAACGTTATAGTCTCGAAAATATTATTTCAAAAGATCAAGTTTGTAAAACTGGTCTTGTTAGTACGAAAAATCATACTAATACAGTTTAGTATGTTGTACTGTAATTTTCTAGAAAAACTTATAGTTGCCGACAGATAAGATTTATTTAAAACCCAACACCTTATCTGTCAGTTGCAATTGTCAGAAGAAAACAGTAAAATTATTTATTGCTTTGTAAAACTTTCTATTTAAATAGCGAGTCGTTCATCATAATCATATGCCTCACAAAGTTTTGAAAAATTCAGTTTATCAATAAATAGATGGATGTTTCAGAGTCTTCGCAAGGTAATAATTTTCTTCAACCGATCAAAACCATATGTGTTCTTGGTGGTTCTAAACTGGTAAGTTTTTCTCAAACTATTGATATTGTAAGTCAGTTAGTCAAAGAGATGGGGAATCAAAAAATCAATTTGCTGTATGGAGGGACTAGCAATACTTTCTATGATAGTCTCTTAATGGCTGGACAATGTTTTGAGATAGAAGTGAAAAGTATCATACCTTTTCGTAGAGCTTCAACAAAGGTCGTCAAGGATTCCACAAGCATGATGTTAACTCATTCCATTCATGATTGTATGATGGATATGGTGAACAATAGCGATGCTTTTATCATTCTTCCAGGCGGGTATGGAACGCTAATGACAATGTTCACCATTGCTTTATGGGCAGAATTGAAACTTCATAACAAGCCCATAGGTCTATTGAACTTTAATAACTTCTTTCATGGTTTGCTTGGATTTTTAGACATAGGAGTATATCAAACCTTTATATCTCCTTCAATGAGAGAAGTATTCAAATCTGCTGACACGTCTGCTGAACTTATCAAAAAGCTTCAAGAATGCATCACATTTCAAGATTCTGTGGAAACACAAGGGGTCAAGCGAAAAAGAGCTTTTGATCCTTTAGATCTCTCATTATGAACCCAGATATTATTCAAATATGAACCCAGATATCATTCATGGGTGGCAGAGTTACGGAGTTTTACACTCTCGAGACGCACCCTTCTTTTATGGGTTCTATTATGTAATCTTTGCGTATTTTGTATTCATCGAGTATTTACTGCCTCTTTTCCATATTTCCACCATCTGAACATTTTGTACTTGTTTCTCAGTAATAATAATATCAATTTCGATTTTTCTCAGTGTATAGTAGTTCATGACTACAATCATTATCATTTGTGCTTCTTCCGGAGCACTTTATTGTAATATCTGTATGATCTCGTATCCCAATGTGATCTCGTCATCTGATATAGCCCCTTAGACTTATATAATATATTGAGAAATCATTTTTGTGTGATCACCCATAGCTGGTAGCTTTTGATACCACTTTCTCATTTTGTTCAATCATCCAATGGTAGCTTCTAGTACCATTTCATCACTTTGTTTAATCATAAAGTGGTAGCATCCAGTACTACTATACCATGATATCATTTAATCATTATGCCATAACTTCCGACATCACATTAATCATGTGGTAACTTATAGTACCATCTCATCAATATTCATATCTCCATAAATTTGGAGAATTTATCAACTGATACTTCAGGACCAGGTTAGTCCATATAATGTCTGTTCATGACAAGGACTTTAATTAACTTTCACATGGTCAGATACAAAGTATCATTAATTTCACTCATTGGCTATCACTTAATTTGTACTGCCCATCGCCGGCGGCAGTGCCGCACTAACCGACCCATGTATATGTGTAGCCATTCATTTGTTGCACGTGGCGTTGCCACCTGGCCATTCTATATCACCGGTTATCATTAATATACTGACTGATCCATTTAGCCGTTCAATATTATCTGTTGCTGGTGGCTGCAACACTTGGCCATTTCATATGATCGGTCATATTTCTTTATAATATTTTTGATCAATAATTGACCCGTTGGTTACCATTAAATATTACTTGCCGGCGGAAGAGCCGCACTGGCTGATCCATATAGCCACACATATTTCTTTTCATATCACAAGGGTTAATCCATAAATATTCGCAAGTTCATGTACCAAATAATTTTATCAATAGAAGAAAATCAACAGTTCATAATGACAATATATATTAATATAATTCAATAAATCATATCAATATTGGTCTTAAATTGAAGCTAGTATGATTTAAATCTGTCGGGCATTTAGTCAAGCAGGACTCGATATTAATGCAACACAACAATTATTGAGTTCATGAATTTAATGCATTTAAATCTGTCCACTAGTGAAATCACATTCCTGAATAAATATTGAGTTCATCAAGTTGACATGTATACTCTTAAAACAATTAATTATGATCCTTGTCATCTACTCCATTTATAATTTATAACTTTAGAAAACGACATTATGCTTTCTTATTCTGAATAATAGATTAGTTCAATTTTCTTTTCTCTTCCAGCTTTTAGTGAAAAAGGAAAGCAAATCATTCTTATCTAATCAAAATTCTACCATGTAAATATTATTATTATTATTATTATTATTATTATTATTATTATTATTATTATTATTAAACATTTGAGTCAAGATTGAAATACCTGACTCTTCTGTTCTGAAATTAAACTTTCACCTGCCGAGGCCTAAGCTTCAATTTCTTGGCAAAATCATGTCTTTGTTTAAGATTGAGAGTAATGTGCTTCTTTAAGCTTTCCTCCAAAAGAGCCAATTAATCCTTACTTAGCCTGAGCTATTTTTCTGCCATGCCTATCAGGTGGGCCTCGCCGGAGACCGTGAAATAGCTGCAGTAGCATCTCCTGAGTCGAGTGTTTATGGAGTCTGCTGAGGTCGGTGTCGGGCTGGGGGCCCGTGACCGTGTCTTCCCGAATTTGGTTTATAAACCCAAAAGATTATATGTAAATGGATACATTTTCAAGTACTGAAATAAAATGACGCTTGAGCATGGTTGTTCTTGGGATAGCTTGAAGTAATGGGAATGATTAGATCAAATTCAAAAATTTGGCAGATGGAGTTTATTCAAAAGAAGAACAATGAGTAATAATCAAATTTCTGATACAGAGGATCGTCTATAAGACGCAACTGTAGAGCATACTCTTCTCATATTACAAATCGAGCTCTAGAGGGCAGAGACTCGTGCTGATAACGTGTTATAAAACTAGAGAGAAAGAGAGAGAATAGAGAAAATGTATTCTCTTAGGTACGATTTTCATTATAACTGAAGGTCCTATTTATAGGAAACTTCTGATGGCACAACTCGTAATAATACAAATACATCAAGGGCAAAATAGTCATTCACATACATTATTTTATTATTTCATAACAAGTAATTCTATATTACTTCACGCTAATTTTTTCATGTCGAACAAATTTTAATTAGACAAATTCCCTATTATATGTATGAAAATTTTTTATATAGTAGATTTATACATATAGATATGGATTTTGCATAGCAGTTTTTATTTTGTCCATAGAAAAACAAAAGATCGATTTATTATACAAAATTTTGAAAAAATTTTTATTAAAAAAAATTCAAAAAGAATACCATAAAAATGGGATTTGTGTATACCTCACATAAAAAAAAAATTGTATATATCTCATAAAAAATCGTTAATTTTCAAAATCTACTACGATGAAGAAACATATTTAAATATTACTATAAATTTGTATTTTGTGTATATAAATGCCAATCCAAATAGTTGATTCTAATAAATATCATAAAATAAAAAAGAAATCGACGATTCTAATAAATATGATAAAATCAAAAAGAATCCTCACAAATGAGAATTCCAAAATTGGCGCCATATAAATTTAAATATTACTATAAAATTGTATTTTGTGTATATAATATATATGCCAATCCAAATCAATGGTTCTAATAAATCTATCAAAATAAAAAAGAATCCTCCGTAAATGAGAATTCCAAAATTGGCTATATATTACTATTTACATAATCTTTGCTACAAACCAACTATCAACTTAATTAAAGGAAAGCAAGAATTTACTAAAACAAATACAAACTAAAAGCAAGAGTTATATTGAAACTATACAATTAATGATTTAACTTTTATTTAAATCATATTATATTATTTCCATCAGTAGGTAATTAATATTTTTGGCGGGAAATTATACATATAGGGGGTGGATCAAATAAAGACATTTCTTAAAATGAGTACGTGATACTCAATCTTAACCATTCATTTTTGTGTAGATCAATGACTCATATTAATCAATTGAAATATATATTAATTACATAATAAAAAACGTTAATTATTATTTAAATTAAATATATAATAAAAAATATAATTCTGTTTGCCGACGTTGATTGCTGGCCGGCCGTTGACCAGCGTTGACGGCCATCCGCCGGGCGTTGACCAATATTTACAGTGGAACTGTGGTTCCCTCTCATCGTTGCTAGGCTCAGTATACTCATCTTCCCCATCTCCGACGGGATCTCGCTGGAGATCCTATTGTTGCTGATGTCGAGGAGCTTCATGCTGCTAAGCTCCACTACGGATGGAGGAATGGAGCCTCTGATCTGGTTGTCGGCAAGATCTAGCACGACGAGCTGGCTCAGCTTCCCCATGCCCGTCGGAATCTCATCGGTGATTCCATTCTCAGAGAGGTCGAGGATTTGGAGGCGCGGGAGGGAGGCGATGTAGGGCGGGATCTCGCCGGAGATTGAGGGCCAGTAGTCGGTGACGATGAGTGTGGTGAGTTGGTCAAGCAGGCAGATGGAGTCGGAGCTCAGCCCGACCCATCCTTTGGCGAAATGGAGCTTCGAGTTTCGGTCGGAGCCCTCGTCGGTGCGGAGGACGATGTCGATGATGCGGAGGGTGTTCGGGTCACAGACAATGCCCAGCATCTCACAGACCTCGGTGCCAACCCATGCGGCGGAGATGGCGCCGCCCATGGATTTCGTGAGGGTTGTTATTGCTGCAATGTCGCTGGAGGCTGTGACGAAACATCTCCTAGGAGTAATGAGAAGCAAGATGCTGGTAATTAGCAGCGGTAGCATCATCAGACTCATTGTGTGAGTTCAAGTGAGTGTATCAAAGTTTCAGTGTGTGTATGTGTATAAATGGGAGTGAGAAGGAATCTGTGCAAATATTTTAGTTTCAGATTTTGGGATTTTAGGGCTGGGCCAATTTTTGGAAATTAGATAAACCTTAAGGATCTAGTTGCAATTTTAGAACGAAAGAGAGGAAGAACTTAGGCATTATCGTTGGTCGGGGAGTGGAAAAGCTGAAATCTGGTGTGTCAGGAGTGATCGGAGCGACAGGAACTCTGGGCATAATAAACTCATCGTCGAGCACAAGAAGAAAACACAGTAAGTAAAGAGAGAGATTTTTTTGCAGAGGTGAAAACCTTGCAAGGATGGGTGAAAGGGTTTTTATAGGCGAAAAGAATAGGAAAAGATAAGACTCAGGAGATTTTGGCTGCAGAATGCGAGTCGAATCAACAGTTTAGGTTAAAAGGAGCGAGTGAAAGGACAGGTCGAGTCCAATCGTTAGATCAAAGTTGAAATGGAAGGACAAAATTAAATGCGCATTTAATGTGGTGCGCTGCACAAGGCTTGCACATATGACGAAGCGCCAGCGGACAAGACATTTGCGACAGTTTGGCAGAACGGGTGCGGACGCATGGTAATAGGTGCAAACATGTGGTGAAGGTTTGAAATTCAAAATTCAATAAGAAGGAAAACCCGGGAAGAAGTGGAAAATAAAGCTAAGAGTAAGGGAAAAACTAAATTCACTCTTGGATCTATTCACCTTGACTCGACCAGAGTTGGGGGACTAGATGATAGGGGATAACCACACCAGGTCGACTGAACTGGAAAGGCAACCAAACCAAACCGGTCTGGCCATCGGATCGAAGCGAAAAAGAGGATTGCTTAGGCTGAAAGACCCTTTGGTCGAGGAAAGCACATGAGGTCAGAGATACCGAGAGGTCAAATAGAGGTTTTCGAAGGGCCTGGTCGAAGGTCACTGGAGAACGCATCTAGTCGAATGATCAACCAGATGGACAAGACAACAACGTTCACTATCGATGACATCCTAGCTCGAGGTAATTGAAGTCAAGTCTACGATTATACCACCTAATGGAGAGAACTAAGAGGATAAAAGAGAATTTTAGGGAAATTAATTCCCTCACATGGGTAAAATCACGTGGCCCCACATGAGTGGTCCATGCTGCACAACCGTCTCTGACAGGCCAGATGGCTCTAACAGCTCTGACAGTCGTGGTAGCTCACGCACTCGCTATAGGGGAGCTCATGCGCCTGACTTGGGCCCTAAGGTATTTTCTCCCTATAAAAGGGAGTGAGGTATGGCAAAAAATACATTACGTTCTCTATTATACTCAATATATATTACAGAAAGAGCTTGTTCTCTCTGGACTTCATCTTCTACGTTTACTCATTTAACCATCAGAGGCTCTTCACTGGAGACCCTCTCCGGTGTGAGAGTTCTGCAGGTTTGAGGATGTTCAACCGGCAACCAACTCGAGATCTAGGCATTTTCAGTTCGTTCTAGCCGGTCGGAGGTCTTTTTTATACCAAAACAAAATATCATTTTTGCATTTTATCGAAAAAGTATGAAATTGAATTATTTGGTATACTATATATTGATCCAATATACCCGCTTATGGTAAAAAATGCTATCTCAATTTTTTTTTTTTCATATTCCTAAGCATTTTACTTGATATTAATGAAAAGAAAAATCTGGAGAAAACTATGGTCAAATTAGGTATATATTTATGTAAATCTATCAATCTATTTAAATTACACAATATCGTTCACAAAACTTAACGACCATAACCAAAAGAAAATTGAGATACCCAATCGTACCATAACAATCAATCAACTCATACCATAAATGATCAACAAGTAATATTCCAATAGAATTTAGTAACATCCCAATTGATCAACAAAATAATATTTCTAAATTGAATTTGTCCAAATCAAAATAAATTATACCGTATTTATATTAAATGGGAATTTGATTAACAATTAACCAAAAGTATAATTGCTAAACAAAGTAAATTTTTACAGTACAAAAATGATGTATTAAAGAAAGTAAAATTTTTAGATTACACAAAATCGTGTACTAAAGGATTTGTAAAATTTTTAAATTGATTTACTGCAGTTTTTATATACTTTTCATCTCAAATATTTATGGTATTTAACTAAATTATACTTTGTTATTTCCTAATAAATTCAGTCATTTTTCGATCATTTGTAGTCATCTTTCGTTTGATTTCGTTTTTAAAATTCGAGTATCCAATTTTATCTTTTATTCAATTCAAGATGAAATGTGAATTCAGTTTGATAAAAAAAAAAGTCACTAGAACCAATAAACTACCTATAAAGTTGCAACCAATTCGAATAATTGAAAATAAATTTGCCGTTGAATACAAAAATTACTTTGGAAATCTGTTTCATGATGAGGAGGTGAGAAAAAATAATTTATTTTAAATTCATTTTTTCGTTTTTTTTAATTATGTGTATTATTAAAATCATTATATACTTATTTATGTTTTCTGAATATTTATTCTAGAGAGGTCGTATTGCTGAAATTATAAGAGCCTCTCATATCAAGAAATGGATGGATAATTTGAAAGAGGGAGAAATCTATGGAATTCAAAAGTATCAAGTGAATGATAACTATGGCTCATTCCGTCTAACAATTATACAATTAAAATTGTGATCTACAGTATGACCAACTTGGTTAGTTTCAAAAGAGACTTTCCTATTTTTTTGGTGATTTCTGAAGCTTGGTTACCCTCTGTTATGGTCTTCGACAAGATCTAACAATGCTCTTTAGTAATATATTAATCTATGTATTTATTTTTTTCACATTTATATTTTTTGTATGAATAAATGAGAATACTTTGAAAAATAATTAGTTTACCATTCAATTATAGATCCAATTGATCTGATTGTTGAAATTGAATCGATGCAAAGTAAAGAGGTTGATGGCGTCCCAACAAAAATGATTGTGTTTTCTCTCAATGATCGACAATAATAATTTTTATTTTATTTATTATATTTTTTGTTTAAAATTAGTTTATTAATTTATTTAAATGAACTTTTAGGAGGAACAAGATTGATTCCACACTATGGGGTGATTTCGTTGTTTGGCTTTTGGAAATTGAAAATGAATATGACAATGATCGTCATCCACATTTGCTCATCGTTCATCTTTGCCAAACAAAGCCATGGGGAGGTACTTTTGTTAAATTATTTTATAATATATTTATGTTTTGTTAATTATAATACGAATGTTAGTTAATTAATTTTCATTAAACTAGTTTATAATATATTTATGTTTTGTTAATTAGTTTGTATGTATATTTTCTACAAGAAGACTTTTAATAATTTAAATATTAATTTTTTATTCTGATTATTTAATTTTCTTTATTCACTTATACAATAATAAGGTTGGGTAACTTCACAGCCCGACCTCTTGGTGAGCAAGATTCTGAAAAGCAGGTACTTTCCTTCTTGTTCTATATTTAAAGCTGTTAAAACCCAAAGCAGCTCTTGGCTGTGGAATAGTTGGTTGGACTCTTTGCCCCTGTTTTCTAAGGGGTTTAGAATTGAAGTCAGGAATGGTGAAACTTCAATAATAGAGGATGTAAACTTGGTTCCTCATCTCCTTAATTTGAAACCAAACATGATGAGTTAGCTAGAGGACATCTGATTTGGGTTAAAGACTTGTTGAGTAGTAATGACCTTTGTTGGAACGAATGGTTGGTTAAACAGGTCATTAATTAAGTTGATAGTCAGGCTATCTTGAATATCTCATCTCTCAACCCAAGAAAAATGGACATAATGTATTGGGGTTTTGATAAAAAGGGATTATTTTTTGTTTCTTCTTCCTATTCTTTTCTCCTCATCAATAGGAAAGTTAAGTATTTAGATATCTCTAAAGGTAGCACCAGCAAGAACACCATCATGGTAGCATGATCCAGAAGCTGGCATCTGAGAGTTAATAACAAGTTGAAACACTTTTAATGGAAGTGCTACTCTGGAACTCTCCCAGTTAAAGTAAACTTGCTGAAGAAAGGCATGGACATAGATGTAATCTGTCAAGGATGTGGAGAGGCCCCTGAAACCATTGAGCAAGTTTTCTTCCATTGCGAGAGGGCCAAATGACTGTGGGAGATTGGACCTGTTCAATGGGATGGCATCAGTATGGCTAGTAACAGATTTGACTCATGGTGGTGGCCAGTTTGCACATGAGTACATTCTGAGGTTGCTGAGGCAAGGATCCATTTCACTACGTATATTCTTTGGTGGCTTTGGAAGTCGAGGAATTTGTGGTTGTTCAATGAGACTAATATGCCAGTAAGGGTGGTGGTTAAAGACTGGCTTGAGTTCACATCTTTGCTTTCTTAGTGTCCTTGTTTTTTTTGTGTTCAGGTTTTTCCTGTGTTGTTTTTTTCGATTCTTTTTGGTGTTTCTTCGAAGGGTTGGCTTAGCTAAGCTTGTGTAGTGGTTAAGAGGCCCTTCTAGTCGGGTGTTAGTGTTTTTTAGTTGTTTGTCCCAGTATAAGGGTTTTAGGTCGTTTGTTGCGTGTCCTCTCAATTTGTCTCAACAAACGAATGTTGATCCCTTTGAGTTGTTTATATATTCCTTTTCTGGGTAAATAGATTTACAATTGCCTACCCCGTGCATCACTTGAGCTTGTTGAGTAGTTTAGAGCGAGAATAATTGGTAATCGAGTAATTTGAACATTGGGTCGTCTCTCAAGGAAGACGATTCGGAGCTTCCCTCACTACGTAGTTGTTCAAGATCACAAAAAGAGCAAATAATGTCCTAAATATTCTAATCGAGAAGATCGAAATTGATTAAACACTAATTGCAATTAAAAGTCGAAGGCAATTGAAAGCACGTAAATAAAGACGAGAACTTTAAGGGAAGAGATGGGAATTTTGGTCGACCGGAGTCTTTATCACTCGAGAAAAAGCAAATAACCAAGAGAAAACATGCTAGTCGAGTGATTCTAGACAATTAAATCGAGCTTTCTAAACTAAATGAGATGTTAAATATAAATAATTATATTTAAAATAAAAATTAAAAATTATTTTAAGAAACTAACCCGTCCGTGTATCGCACGGGATACACACCAGTCAGATTGAAATGTCGGGTATTCTACTTTGACAATGACAATATCGACTAATTAATATACTAGCTAGAAAGTTACATTAAAAGACTAATAATGAAATGGAGTCATATATATGTATAGACAAGGGCTCGATGGTAGACAATGGATTTACACTAGTCTACATAAAATGATAAAGTAACATGAAAATTCATGAAGTTTTGTTAAGATTCTGTCTTTTTCATTTTCATTTTCAGTCTAATTAATTATTATCAAATTACATTTGGTCATAGGATATTCTAGATTATATATTTATAAATCCATGGTTTTATAAAGTTGGAAGCTTGGTGCAGTTTAGTGACAATGGAAATTTATGGTTATCAATTTCTTGAAATCGGGTGCTTCTGTCATAGAACCAATCTCCAACTGCTTCCGGAATAGTCTGTGACAAATATGCAATTTTATTTTGATTAGTCAAATAAAATATTATACAATACAAAGAAGACTGAAATATAGTAGCTTGACGTTGGAGAAATAAATGTTATAACGATAAATGAATAATATTAAGCTTAAAGAAATAATATTGTTAGTGAGAATTAGTGGTTAGATCACTATATGTTAAATAAATATACCTATTACAAAGTCAACCCACAACAATATTAGTAAAGATGGGTCTATATTATAATTGGGAAAATTTGCAACTTCAGTCTAATAATTTATGTTTTCTATTTTTTTTCCACTAATATTTTAAAATTACCATTTGGTACATTAACTTTCAATGTGTGCCGATGTTGTCTAACAACTTTTACTTTTGTCAATTCGTTCAATGTTGGGCAAAAATTCAATTTTAGTTCGTTAACTTGTCAATTGTTCACTTTTGGTACACTATCTTTCCCCTCATCAAAGATGGTCCACTATGTTACACTTTTCATCAGTTTTAGTACACTAATCCCGTGGCCCGGGATTACGAGATGCCAAATCAAGTTTTTATTCTACCACGTCAATATCTTATCCCTCCATGTAGTTCCAATCCCGGTCCACGTCATCTTGTAATCCAGCCGACTGGAGTAGCGTACTAAAACTGATTAAAAATGTACGTAACATAATAGACTATTTTTTATGAGGGGAAATAGCGGACCAAAATTGCATTTTTGCCTTCAATGTTGACCCATGTTTCAAATTGAAACTCTTGTCTCGATCAATTTCATGGTTTTTTTGTTCATACGATTCAAGATTTATAACATATCACTTTTGAAGCACAATAAAACTCTCATATTGAAGTCTCTATTTGTAGCTTCCAACTTTCGAAGATCCTATTGTTTGATATTTTAAACTTACTTTCTAAAGTTACCATTTCATAAAGTTTCAAGCTAACATCTTCAGATGAAATATTAGATATAATCACTATAAATCTAACTTTGAAGCTCCAACTCACTTGCAGTGCTCGGATTCACCTAGATGGGATCTTCTATTCCAAGATCATGTTTCAATTTGTGTTTGTTCAATCAGATATATGACACGTGCTCATGATGATGTCACAATTATACATGTGTCAATCATCCAACTGAATAAGACAGAAATTGGAAGATTATTTCGAAACAAGAAATCTTATTCCGAAATTTTCCACCATCGGATTCGATCGTCAATTTTCCGATCCGCTTCTGGAATTAGTGAACTACCTCTTATTTTGTTCATCTAATATTTTCTATAGAATAATATAATTTATTTTATATTTACATTGTTAATGGAATTTCATTTTAACATTTTAGCCACTTCTCTTTGGCGTAATTGAGTCCAAGTAAAAATTGTTGTACCATTTTAACAAAAAAATGTTAGGGGAGGTAAACAACTTTTACAACAAAAGACTAGAGTAAAATTATATTTTTTCAATTATCTATCTATAGAGAAAATGGAAACATACGTTAATGCAGAAACATCAAACAATGTCTTACTTTATCTCTCAGCTTATATGACGCGTGCCATCCTGAGTCTTGAAAGAAATGGCCATGACGCAAACAAGGATGAATAAACATCCCTATTGATGAGCAATAACGGTGGACCTTGCTTAATATTTTTGTGGTGGCCACACCATAATCTGAAAATATGTGAACATTATTGGAATTTTATGACACAACATGAAACCTAAAAAATAAATAAATAAATAAATAGAAAGAGAAAAAGAAATAGTACTTTTCATCCTTTGCAATTGAGTGTGTGTACACGGTTTTGAACTCATCATACAATATAGAAAACTCGGATCATCTTGATAATAGCTACCCAACTAAGATATACAAAAAGGTCGTTATCATTAACATTTATCATCGACCTAATATGAGTGTTTCCACAAATACATATGAATAATTATATTTTAAGACATACCTGATAAAAATCAAATTTTGATTGCACTAGAAATAGTGGAGTCTGAATATTTTTTACTATATATTGTGGGAACAAGCACTGTTAAATATTCCACAAAGAAATCAAATATGTTAATTGTATTCATAATCTTTACCAAAGTATAACAAGGTATTGATCAGTTTTTTTATGAAGCCAACAGTTGGTTCCATAGTAGAGTTAACCTTCTATATATAACAAGTAAACAATATCATATTCTCTAATATAGTATTGTTTACTTGTTGTATATAGAAGGTTGACTCCACTATGGAGCCAACGGTTGACTTCATAGCAAAACCGAGGTATTGATATATAAAAAATTTAGTTTTTCTTACCAAACTTGCGTTCATTCTTGATGTACATGATGTAGGCAGCTCATTGGTAAATCCCTACAGAGAACGAAACTGAACATATATTTTGAAGATATTGTATTCTCGTTGATTGAATGCTATATCCAATATATTTTTGTTATATCTTATATACATTGATAAATACGGGTACATATTATTAAATAGAATGAGAAAAAATCACCCTATTTATTTAGTCCTTATTTGTTCACATATTTTCTATATATCATTCTTTCTTTTCGCGCTTTCTTTATTGACATCCCTAAGAAGTCATTTGTATCCTAGCATTTCGATTATCTGAGTTCTCCGAACTCGTGTGAACTGGCGTGGTTTTCTTGTGCAAATGAGTTCTTGTTATTTTTTTGGTTAATACTTGTAATAATATGAATAGTGGAGGTGGAGAACGTTATCCACCCATCATCAACACATTGTCATCTCTAGGTCTTATTTTTTATTTATTTTTAATTTGCTCACGCATGAAGACATTATTGTAGCAAGATTCTTTGTATCTATGAGTTTAGTTTCCTTTTTTTATGAATTATATATCCATTCTATGATTTAATTGTATCTTTTGATTGAGAATGTGGCAATGTATTGACCTTGTCTAAGAATTTTGCACACTATTTTGATTTCTTTTCTTAGAACAAATTTAGGACCACGACAATTACACTGCAAATGAAGGATAGATCATATGCCTACACAAGAGGGATTCTATAAGAAAATGAAGGATAGATCCTATGTAAAGGGATTTTATAAGATTCAACGGTAAAAGTAGGTGAATTTTTTTACCCAACATATTTCCTTCTGCTTAACATTCATGATAACAATGATGTTGCGCTAATTTTGGGGCAATAGTTTTTAGAAACTGAAAAGGTTTTGATTGATATAGGGCTTGGAGATCTTACATTCTGGGCATTTCACGAGCGTTACACATTCATCTTTGATCGAGGATTGAGACAAAACAAAAAGACATATGATAAGAGCTGATGTAGAAAGAATGCAAAAGTGGAGGTTGGTTTGAACCTTGACGATTCATTTTGATGGAGCATAGAAGGTGTTTAGATAAATATGTTAAATTAACTATTTTGTTGGTAGAAACTCATCACTTATTGCTTTGATTTTTATGTTTCTCTTTGTTTTTATATTTTAATTTTTTTGAAAAATAAAACTAAATTAAAAAAGGGAAAAGATGGGGGTGATCGAAATTTGAGCGGTGCCTAGAGAAGTTGAACATGCTAAAAGATGCGAGGATTACTAACTTGCTCGATTTATCGATTATTTAGTTAAGGGGCAATTTCTTTTTCTTAAAACTTAATATTTTTCTAAAGAATAAGTTTGTGGGAGAAGTGTCGCATATCTTAGCGTGTTTTTATCACTTTCTTACTTATCATATAGTTACATACAGTCTTTAATGATGTAAAATTTTATTTCTAGGACACATGTTTATTTGCTTTAGTAGATTAGTAATAATTTGGTTGAGTTGAAAAGTTTTCTTGTGAGTATTGTGCTAGGATTTACGGTTGATAAAACTTTAATTGTGAATAATTGTTTAATATGATTGGGGATTAGTGGCTTTCTTGATGAATATCATGCATAGATGAATTGCTAGTGTGCTTTGAATATTGAGATATTGAACCTAGTGAATTTTGATCCTTATTTATTTTGTGACAAGTTGATTAGATACACTATTATCAGAATTTGCCTTGATTCTTACTTGCATGCTTGTGAGTTTTTTAGATTATTTAGGTGGTTTTTGAATTTAGCTTGTTTTAGCATTATTTCTCTCTCATTAAAAATCTTTTTCTTAGTAGCCCCTTGAGCCTAGAGCCTTTTCTTGTGAGCCTAGTTATATGATTCATGTTAGGAGTAGGCTATATTATGATGGATAGTGATGAAGAGTTATTTGATGGATGATGGGATATTGAATTGGGTGTTGATTAAGTTGTTTTTATGGTGTTTGACTGGTAAAAAAAAATTATAATGAGAGCTTGCAAGATGAATCGTAGGAATTCTACTCATCTTTCTTGTTAATTTAATCTGATGAGTTATGATTAACGGGAAACCGTTTTATGACGCTTGGAGGACCTCTAATGTTTACAACTAGAGAATATTGTCATTACTTTCAACTTTGTTCAGAAAAAATGAACTCTGTAATTGGAAAAAAGGGTCAAGTACATAATATGCAATCTGATATGAGTAATTATAAGTTGTGTGTGGAGGTTTGGATTTTTTGATGAGGTGCGTTTCATGATTGACTATGGTTGGGTAGTGATATATTCGAGTCTCTATTTACACGAGAGATTTGATTCATAATTTGAGATATTTAACCTATATATATCATTATATTGTCTGAAATTCCAATATTACAACTCGATGAAACATTTTGATTCTTTTCTCATGAGCATTGGTTTTGTATTAAGTATGGTTTAGATGATTAACAAACATATAGTTAACTAGGTGTTTAAATTTACTGGAGCATGTCTTTTTTATGATGACATGAGTGTGGAACACATATATTTTTCCTATTTGAGGGTTCGTTGATTCAAAATGAATATAAAAGTTAGTAGTTGAACAATGATGTTTATGATCGTTTTAATTTTTCTCTATAGTATAGAAAGATTTGAAGCTTTTCTAGTTTCATATCCTTTTATGCTTGAGTTATGATTCTAGTTCAGGGATGAATAAGAGTTAAGTTTAGGGGAGTTCAAATGTTTAGTATTTAGGTGCATATATAAATGTTAGGGAAATTTTTTTTTAACCTCCCAAAGTATGCCTTTTTTTTACTTTGCCATATAAACCTTTTTTTTGACAATTTGCCTCCCAATGTAATCGAAACTGACAGTTTGCCTCCTCGATTGAAACCCAAATATGGTACAAAAGAGTTTTTAACTCAATTAATGATGAATTTTAAATTAATCTTTAAAATTGATTTAGGGCTTTTAAAGCCCATGACGAGACGAACAAAATGAGGTATGATTTGTCGATTTCTGAAAATTGATACCTCTAAAATCGATCCACGAAGATAGCAGGAGCACGTGTGTATAGAAAAAATTTCAATTCAAGTTTTCTGATAATCAAGATATCCGATTTTCGATTGAGAGGTGTCATTTGAAAGCTTGAAGGACGAGTTTTCTATCGAAGTAAATCTTATGAAAATCCAACGATCGGATTTTGGTTAGTAGCCTAAAAAAAAGCTAACGGTTGATCAATAATTTTCTAAATACTGATCAAAATCCGACCGTTGGATTTTCATAGGATTTACGTGTTAGAAAAATTGGTCCTACTAGCTTTCAAATGACACCTCCCAATCGAAAATCGGATATTTTGATTGTTAGAAAACTTGAATTGAAATTTTTTCTATACACACGTGTTCCTACTATCTTAGTGGATTATTTATAAAGGTATTAATTTTCAAAATTCGACATATTATACCTCATTTTGTTCGTCTCGCCATGGGCTTTAAAAGCCCTAAATCAATTTTAAAGATTAGTTCAAAAGTCATCATTAATTGAGTTAAAAACTCTTTTGTGCCATATTAGAATTTTTAATCGAGGAGGTAAACTGTCAGTTTCGATTACATTGGAAGGCAAATTGTCAAAAAAAAAAAAGTTTATATGGCAAAGTCAAAAAAATGACATACTTTGGGAGGTTAAAATTTTTTTACCCTAAATGTTATTGAATATGTTTGGGTGTGGTTTACCCTTGAAATGCACATCATTTGTCATGACTGATTGAACTATATAGAAATGGTCGTGTTGTTAGTTTTTATAGAAAATATGCCCGAGAAGTGATTTCTAAGGATTGAGGGGCCGAATGGTCACATGACTCCTGTCAGGTGGTTCTCAAACCACATGAGTCATGTGGGAGAAGAACTCGGGCTTCTTTTGGCTATGAAGAACCACACGAGTTGTATGGATATGTGACATGGGTCATATGATTCTTCTGGAGTGTTCTAGCAGATTGCGGCAGTTGGTTTTTGCATGATTTCTTTCCTTTTTCATTCAATCTAATTATATATAAAACTTAAGGAACTCGTCCAAGACAACTTTTGAAAGTCTTGGAACACCTTTTGAGGGTAGAAAGAAGCATAATATAGGCATGAAAGCTAGGAATATAGGATTGAAGAAGATGAATAAGCTTTTCTTTTATATTTATTTTATGTTTTCGAACTCAATGTTTTATTATTTTTCTTGTGCCATTGCCATGTTTCTAGGCTAACTATTTTACATTCTGGGATGTGTTACTACTCGGATGATGGATTTATGACATATCTTTTATTCTGTTCATTCTAGTTTCTTTTTTGTTTATGCTTTTCGTGTTCAGACCGGTGTGCATGAAGCAACTTCAGAAAAGATGACGCCAACTCAACTCGAGAAGATTGAATTAACATGAGAGGCAGATAGCGAAGTATCACCAAGTCCAAAACAACTGAGAAGATCTTGCATACAAATGAGGCAAAATTTCAGTTACGCCAATATAGCCTTAGACGAAGATACAAGATAAAGGAGCCAGAGATACTTGATAATGCAATTAACAAAAAGATTGGAGAAAAACATTAAATGAGGAGAGTATGGGTGTAAGCCAAAATGAAACATGGGACTTAACATCCAAACCGGATAGAGTTAAACCCATGTCATGTAAATGGGTAATAAATATGCGAATTGATGAATCAATCAACAGATAAAAAACTTGACTAGTTGCACAAGGATTCTCATAGCAGTAGGGGATAGACTATGATGAGACATTTAGTTCAGTGGAGAAATTCACAATAGTTAGAGTACTTTTCGCATTTGCAAAAAGTAAGTCATGAAGTTTATGGCAGATGGATGTGAAGAATGCATTTCAACATGAAAAGCTGGATAAAAAAATCTACACGGTCCACCCTGCAGGGTTCAAGGATAAGGAGAATTCAGGACAGGTGTAAAAATTAAAGAACGACCTATATGGATTAAAGCAATCCCCACAAGTATTTTATGGTAAGATCATTGAACTTCTAATAAAATGTTAATACTCAGTCACAACAGCAGACTCGAGTCTTTTCGTCAAAGCAAGAGAAGAAAACTAGAAATAGTGTTAGTTTATGTGGATGACATCATTATCACTAGAGAACACCAAAAAGAAATCCAACAAACCAAAAGGAGCTTATCAGTGAGGTCTTGAATGAAAGAGCTTGGAGAACTTAAATTAGGCATTGGACTATTATTTTTCCAGTCAGAACATGTTAAAGATCTCTTGAGGAAATTTGGCATGATTTACAGCAAGCCAATATCGACTCCCGTTGAAGCAAACGCCAAAATAGGTGCTGAAGACGATAAGGACTTGGAGTATGCAACTATGTATAGAGGTTGTCGGAAGTCCAATTAACCTCATCCTCACATGGGCAGACGNAGGGGGAAGGGCGTGATCGCTAGTCGATTTATAGAAAATCCAAAGAAACCAAACCTTGAGTTAGTCTGGCGCATACTAAGGTGCGTAGAAGGAACCATCAATTATGAACTTTTCTATCAAAAGACTAAAGCTTTCAAGATTATTGGCTATTGCAAAGAAGTGATACATAAAGGTCCATAACTGGTATTTGTTTAAGTTTGGGTTGGTCGCAATATCATGGTTTAGCCAAGAGACAACCAACAATGTCTCTATCAACAAAGAGGTCGAGTATCGAGCGTCAGTGATGGTAGATCAAGAAAGCACATGGCTTATGCAGCTATTTAAAGATCAAGAACAACCGTTTAGCTATGCGGTGTAGCTATATTGTGATAATCAATTCTCTATACATATAGCAGATAGTCCCATATGTCACACGAGAACAAAATATGTCGAAGTACATTATCACTTCATTAGATGGAAAGTGTTCCAAGGGGAGTTCAAAATGAAACACATTCATTTGGAAAACCAAGTAGCCGATGTGTTCATCAAAGGGCTCAACTTTTAAATTTGAAGAGTTTCGAACACGTCTTGGAATGGTTCAGCAGAAAACATAAACCGAGAGAAGGTCGACAAAGAGAGAACTGCAAAATCATCACCGACATTCTAGAAGCAAAATAATTAATTATTCCCACTGGCAATAGAAAACTCTAGAAGAATGGAGACCACTAATTTCAAATTATTGCATAATATATATTGGTGTTATTTGAATTCAGCACTTAGTGCATAAGTTAATTTTGGAGAATTCTTTAAAGCCAATTGCACCAACTTAACTCATAAATAAAGATGTTTGGCAATTGTTTTGTGCAAGAGTTGAGAAAGATTCAAGTTACCATTAAGTACAATTACAATTGTAAGGTGTGAGTATTGTGAATTAAAAATGGAGAGTGGTGTGAGCTTCTCAGTTGTTTGTGTATATTTGTAAATTACATCTTTTGTAGTAAACATATTTTGTTTAGTATTCTTGTGAGTCTCTGCCTTTTTATTTACAACACGTGATTTATTTGGACCAACTCATGTAAGGCCATATAATAGCAAAACTTATTATATCACTCATTGATGATCAAACTAGATATACATCGATATACATTGTCAAATTACAATCACTCGTCACTATTCTAGCCTTCATATATACATAGCACTGTCAAAATGGACCATGGCCCGCGGGCTGGCCCATCCGTCCGCCTAAATGGACGGGCTTAGGGCTTTGCTTGGCCAGCCCGTTCAATCGCGGGCCTATTTGGCCCGTCCCGTTCGGCCCGCGGTCTAAAGCGGGCCGGGGCGGGCTGGCCTGCGGTCCAACTCGTTTTATTTTTTATTTGTTAATTTTATATTATTTAAATTTAATATTTCTTATTTCATGTGCATTTTGTTGGAGTTTGTTTTTATCGTCTTTTTTTTTCTTCTTCTTCTTCCATATTTAATTATTTTATATTTTTTAAAATTTGACAATGATATTAGGATTTGTGAATGCACATGAAACACTTTTATACATAATAAAAATATTAATGAATCAAATAATATTTTATGTGAATTAAGTCTCTTCTCCGCGTCAATACCCTATAACTATTCATAAAAAAATAAAAATAAAAACTGGATGACAAATATTTTTTTTTTGTACAATGGATGACAAATATTTAACATCATTACACATGAAGCCTTACTAGTTTATTAATATACTAGTAAATATAAGGATAAATAAACCAAACAGTATATAAGAGTGCATAACACTAAAAAACCCGCGGGCGGACCGATTTGGCCCGCGGGCTAATGAGGGCGGGTCACGGGCCATGGATTTTCCAGCCCGTAGAAATGCAGGCCATTTTGGCCCGCCCCGTTTGAACTGCGGGCCAGCGCGGGCCGAAGCGGGCCAGACCGGACCGGCCCGTTTGACACTGCTATATATACACTTCATGAGCATGGTCTAAGCTCAGTTTCATAAAAGANGTGGTGCAGACGGAATGCAAAAAAGTAGTGCAGACGGAATGCAGAAAAAAAGTAGTGCAGACACAAAAAAAAAATTCAAAAGTAGTTATCTTAATTATCATCTGGACATCGTTTTCATTGTCCTTATATACTATATAGGAAAATTTCAAAACTAGTCCCACAGGTATAGGAGGTGACAATTTTGGTCCCGACGGAATGCAGAAAATATGAATAGTCCCACAGCTTTAAAAAATGATCAACAGTAGGACTTTTTCGCCGGATTTACTATTTCCGACCCGGAATGCCACGTGGCATCCGGCGTGTTCATATTTTTTTACAAGTTGTGGGACTAGTCTTGAATTTTCTGCATTCCATCGGGACCAAAAATGTCACCCTTATATACTTGTGGGACTAGTTTTGAATTTTTCCCTATCTACGTTGGATGCCAGCGTGTAAAAAATAAGCTACGTGTGCGCCACGTGGCGTTCTGGGCCGGAAATAGTAAATCCGGCGAAAAAGTCCTACTTTTGATCATTTTCTAAAAGCTGTGGGACTATTCATATTTTGTGCATTCCGTCGGGACCAAAATTGTCACCCCCTATATCTCTGGGACTAATTTTGAATTTTTTCCTATACTATATTATTGTGTGTTTTACACATTTTGTGCACATTATATTGTGCTAGAAACCTATGAAAAACCATCCTGTTCAATAGTGAATCATATGCATGGCCCCAAAGGGAAAATGATGTCCTTAAATTCGTTTTCAATTCCTTATCCCCTAGAGATACAAGATGTGTTGGATGATTTATAATTTTTATTTCTATATATGGTAGTAGTGTAATATTGATATTATCCCCTTATTCATAATTCGAAAATGCGTTAGAGTCTAAGTGGTAGACTCGCATGCTTCGGAATATTACTTGGCCTTCGTAATTTGGTTTGGATAAAAATAATATTATTCTAAATCAATAATTTTAGGTTCGGACATTCTATAAATACTAAAAAGCTAACTTGGGTAATTCTTATAATACTTTGACTAATATAACCCTAAATTTGTTTTGTAAACTTACTTACTGTTGTTTATATAACTAATATAGCCTTAAAATTTGTTTTGGAATCTCTCACTTTTCCAAATTGAATGTGAAGATCAAAATGATTAATATACCATATTTTTATACATATATATTAAATTTTTATATATAATATAATAAATTAATAATGTCTTGATGAACTTTGGTTTCACATCTATATTATACATATAAAATAATTAATAATTTTATTTATATTTATACTTAAAATTAAATTATCTATTAATATTAATTTGAAAAAATATAATTATTTAAACTACCTTAACTGCAAAGTAATTATCTTATATAAATTATAAAAATATATAATATAAAATGGTACGTCGTGTAAGTGATGATGCTAATTTGAATATAAATAATAATATATTTTTAAGAAAGTATTTTAAAACTAAAACAATTTTTGTTGTTATTGATTTAATTTGAAATGTAATTTTCTTAATAAGTACACGGGTATTGTACTAGTATAGTAATAGTAGTATAGTAATAGTTATGTAGCAATATTTTTTTTTAAAAAAAAACTACAAAAAAATAAATTCTTTCCTTACATGATATGAAGCAATACTGGCAAAATATTCTTCTATCCTTTTAGCTCCAAGAAGCTTTGGTCTGTGATATTTGTCAATAGATTCATACAAAATAAATAAATAAAGGAAAGGTGGAATCAACAACATGAGTAGTAAATGTAATAGTGATGTGCAATATCCATTGAAAGAAAACATTAGAAAAAGATTGAGTTTTATTTAAAATCTTACGCGTGAATGAAGAAACCAGAATCAACGAGGCATTTCACTCGACTAGTAAAAGGCAAAAGGACCCGGAAATCATCGCAATGTAAAATGGCTGATAATCCGCCGGCTGATGTGCCGGAAAGAATGGCCTGTTTCATTGAATTCTAATTAAATTCTAGATTGTAATTTGTGATCAATTAATATACATGTTTTAGTATTTGTGTTTTGCATGCATAAAACTGAACATTGATAGCCTTGGATATAAACAGGCAAAATGAGTAATGGCCAAATGTTACCGTACATTTTTTGCACTGGCCATTCCTTTTTCCAATAATTCTTCCATTACGGCGTAGAATATTCGGGCACCCCTACTAATTATTTTCTACAAAAAAATCAAGAAATGAATTATAAGTGAAATGGAAATTATGTTGTAATGCAATTTAATGGTTAAACTTAAATAGGTTGACCATTTTATTTTTTAAGCTAAATGCATACTTTTATCAGTTATTTTTGAAGTATAACATTTTACTAATGAAAATATTAAATATATACATATATTGTAAATATAAATGTCTAATATATGTGTCTTTTTAAGAATATGTAAGAGAAGATGGAGGAATAAGCAGTTCCATAGATTGTTAGATGACTCACAGGATGATTGGATTTCCCCATGAAGGATGAGCTATCGCAGTATTCAACAATGATTCTATTCCAATTATAGAAATCTATGAATCATCATAGGACAATGTAATTATTAATACAGATACAAATTTAGAGAGAATACATAATATACAAAACATATTAACCCAATTATAAGTATGTAATAGGCTCGATATATTGGTGAAATGTGAATATGGCAACTTCAACCCAGATTGTTCTAACTGGAGACTATTTATCTTAAAAATCAATTTCATTCCACTGTCTTTTATTTAGGAAAAAAAAAATGATTTTATTTCTATGAACATTTGCAATGGATTCATATATTTATTAAATTTTAAATATAAATAAAATTTAATAATTTTGTTAAGGGTCCCACTTTATAAATGAAAATGAAGGTAATAATCAATGTAAAGAATGTGTTTGATGGTGATATTATTTAATAATTTAGTTAAGGGTCCCATTTTTATCGCTAATTATAAGTGTTATATTTTACATTAACTAAGTAATAATATATTTTTAATTATTTTATTATATAATTGATAATACTAAAACTAATTGGTTATATTATATATGGAAGTTACATAAAAATAAAAGAGTTATATTTCAAATTTTTTCTTCGAGTTGTTTTTTTTTTAAAAATTAATATTATATTTTTACTTTTAATCTCATTAAGCAATTTTGTTTTTAAATAAGTTATTTCACTTTACTGAAATATCCAAACTCCTTAAAATAATAAAATCACATAACACAATTTTTATAATAATAATTTAATATTTTTCAGCCATTAATTGGATGATCTTTTAATATTATTAAAACGATATTATCATTTATATCTTATGAAATTAATATAGTGATTAATATATAATTAAAAAGTTTTATACTATTCATTTTACTAATGATAGTTAAATAGTTTTATACAGTTCATTTTAAATAATTATATACAGTCACAATATTTATATAGTAGACAAGTAAATATTATTTTTATTACTACTATTTCAGGCTTTAAATTTTATTTAAAAGTAATGCATTTATTTTTTAAGTAAACATATGCAATTCTGAAGCTATAAATTATATTTAATATGAATGTTNAAAAATAAACAGAAAAGAGAAATTAGGATTAATTAATGCTTTGTTTTGTAATTGATTTTGGAAGAAAAGCGCATTTACAATTTTAATGGTGTCGCTCCTCTTTCTATCCCCTGTATATAGTTCTCAAATGTGCTGGCAGGCGTGCTTCTTGATCCTATTTGTTATTATTATATATTTTTATTGATACATAATTAGGTTTGAGTGTCATATGAAATGTCAATTAGCCATAATTATTTTTATAATATATTAAATCATTCCATTTTTTTTGAGTGTTATTATTATATATCTTTATTAAAAAAATCATTCCATTTTTTTTGTTTCATAGTTATCATAATACTTTCCTTTTTATTTTATTTTGTTTTTTATTACATGTCTTCACTAAATCAGTCATATTAATTTATTTCTCTTTCTTTCTCTCCAATATTCATATTTTACATACTTAATTCAAAGATTGAAAAAGTATAGTTTGATGATTTAGTTAAGACACAAAGTGATGTTTTATATAAAATTAAACTAATTTTTTATGAAATAAAATTTTCGAATAAAAGCTTTAATACTTTTTATATATGCTTATATTTATTTATGTATATATATCTATAGAGATGATAACTAATGTCAATTCCCTACTAGCATTAATATTGCCATTTAACTCACCAAGGCCTAGTATTCATTTGTGCAATATAAGCATTCATTTAAATTGTAAAACCCACACCTAACGCCATTAACGTTAAAAAATAAAAATGAGTTTAATTATAGAATAATCCTTTTGAGTTTTGACATCATAGACCCTGCATATATACCTGGATTCACAGTCTGGTTTGTGCTTTTTATCTCGCCGAAAAAAACACTCTCATTATAGTATTTGCTGCTTCCTAATCCGTTTGTTAATCTATAAGTACAAGTTTCATCTGAAGTGCACCAACCACCACCCTAAAATTCAAATAAAGAGAAAAATAGTAAAAAAGTAATATTTAGGAAATTAACATCTAAATTATATTTAGAATATTAAAAAAAAATATATGACATGATTATTTTTTCCTAGAATGATATTTAATAATGAATGGAGGGAGTAGATCATAAACCAAATGTTACTATTATTTGAGAACGATGTGATTATTACTTTTCTTATTTCAAAAGTAATGTTATATTTATAATTGTAAACCTCTGAGTTAATTAATCTATGTTTTTTTGGGTCAATTCTGATTTTTACAATAGCTACCTGTAAGGTAACGAACCAATTATTAACGCCGTCGTCAAATCCTGGATCGTAATAGTAAGCTGCTGACGACCCGTCGTTACAAACTAAACAATAAAAGAATACTCCGTCATAATTAAGTAATATTTTATATGAATAAATAGAACAATTGGATTATTATTATTAGTTGAATTTAAATTTTGATGGAAAGAAAACTCACCGGCTCCTTTTTCCACTGCATTCGAAACCAAAGTCAAGTTAACTATGTTGAGGTCAAAACTTTCGTCATTGGTTTGATAACCGTTCAACACAAAACCTAAACAAATGACAAGCCTTAACAAGTGATCACCCATGGTTTGAAAGGGTTTCCTTGTAGATACAGCATAGGTAGATACCGAGGAAAAAAAATACAGTTAATAGGCCAAAATGCCTAGCATACAGAATATATATGAACATATATACAAGTACTATCAACAGTTACTGTTCTTAATGTTCTTAATTGATGATAAATTTTAATGTTCTTAATTTAGTTTTTATTGATCTATTAATTAGTACTATCAACCGTTACTGTTTTTCATTAAAATTTATATTTACTTTTTGAACGTTTTTCAAGTGAGCAGTTGACTATACTTCATTAGTGTTTTATGATAATAAATAAATATTAGTAGCAATCACTAATGGTAAATGACATGTTAATCTCTCTTGTTTTCATCGCACCACTACAAAAATGAATATAAAAGCAATAAATTTTATCAAAAAAAAGTAGTAAATTCTATGAAAACAAAAGCAAAGAATAATACATGTAAATTGGAGTCAGAATGAGAGAGAAGTATGTTAGTCGATCAACATCACCTTATCCACATATTTGATCAGATTCAAAAGGGAACAAAGGAATAACTATTATATATGTACCCCTAAAAATAATAATAATAATAATAATAATAATAATAAAAACAGAAAAAATGAACAATCCTAAGCAAACAAAGAAAAGAAAAGAAAAAACAAAAAAAAATGATAGTTGGGTTTTACCGCAATAACTATTATTTACCTATAAAAATAAAAACATTAAAATAAAATAAAAAAAGTGAAGTAAAAATATATAAAAAAAGACTCTAAAAACGAAAAGAAATAGGTGGAATATTTTATCTGCCACAATCTTCCATATTATACTTGTATTGTGACATTGTTGGTTAGTTGGTTAGATATAGTTTAGGACAATAGTTAATTGGGTTTTACTTAAATAAAAATTTTCTATATTATACTTGTATTTTTGACATTGTTGGTTGGATACAGTTTAGGAAAACAGTTAATTGGGTTTTACTTAAATATATATATTATTTATCCCAAAATACAAGTGCCCTAACATTTCATCCACTCATACTTTTATAATTATAATTATTACATTCTAATTAATTTATTATATATTATTTATATAATCTCACTATACATTAAGCATATTTTATATATCTTTCGGGTAATTGATGGTAAATTTTAATGTTCTTGATTTAGTTTTGTCTATTAGTACTATCAACCGTTACTGTTTTTCATTAAATTTTATTTTCTTTTTGAATGTTTTCAAGTGAGCAATTGAATATACTTCATTTAAGTGTTTTATGATAATAAATAAATATTAGTAGCACAATCATTTAAGTGGTTTATGATAATAAATAAATATTAGTAGCACAATGAGTCACTCGTTAATGACATGTTACTCACTACAAAATGATCATAAAAGCAATAAGTTTTATCACAAAAAGTAGTAAATTCTATGAAAACAAAAGTAAAGAATAATACATGTAAATTGGAGTCAGGATGAGTCACAAAAGGTAGTAAATTCTATGAAAACAAAAGTAAAGAATAATACATGTAAATTGGAGTCAGAATGAGAGATAAGTATGTTGGTCGATCAACATCACCTTATCCACATATTTGATCAGATTCAGAAGGGAACAAAGGAATACTAGTATGTACCCCTAAAAATAATAATTAAAAAAAAAAAAAACAGAAAAAATGAACAATCCTAAGCAAACAAAGAAAAGAAAAAAAAAAAAAAAAAAAAATGATAGTTGGGTTTTACCGCAATAACTATTATCTCTAAAAATAAAAACATTAAAATAAAATAAAAAAAAGTGCAGTAAAAATATATAAAAAAAAAAGACTCTAAAAACTAAAAGAAATAGGTGGAATATTTTATCTGCCACAATCTTCCATATTATACTTGTATTGTGACATTGTTGGTTAAGATATAGTTTTGGACAATAGTTAATTGGGTTTTACTTAAATAAAAAATTTCTATATTATACTTGTATTTTGACATTGTTAGTTGGATATAGTTTAGGACAACCGTTAATTGGGCTTTACTTAAATATATATTATTTATCCCAAAATTAAAAAGAGGAAAATTGAACAATCCTATAAAAAAAACTATAATATAAAACCTGAGACTTTATACATAATTAATTGATATTTTAACAACATAACCTCCTTAATTTTCTTTAGGAAGATGATATTTTAAAAACATGAGACTTTATACATAAAAGTCATAATTAATTGAACCTCTTAAATGTATGTAAATGAATTTATATGTTACATACAATTACTTTATAACTTCAATAAAAAATTTACACAACTTCAACAAAAAAATTTACATGCAATTAATTAATTTCATTATTCTAAACTTCAACATAAAATTCACATCACTTAATAACATCAAGTCTTCACCAAAAAAATTAGTGCAGCCTTACTATATAACTCGGAATGAATTAATTGAATTATTGTAATAATAAATTTGTGAAAAATATGTGGAAAATCATACCGTATATCAACTTTATACATAGAAGTCAGGTATTTGAAATTAGTGGCTTATAATTTTATTTATAATAGGGAAATATTGAATTTTAATCAACCATAAATACAAGAGTCAAGTCCAATCTCTTCAAAATTTTAATAATAAGTTTCATTATGTTTTGTTCCGAAGGTGTTGTAGCTTCTTTGTTAATTTTCGTTTCGACTTTAGGACTGTCTTGTAGGAGTCTTGTGGGTGTAACTCTATATAGCTTTTTAGGTTGTTCCTTTTTGCAATCAGTTGATTGCTCGTCTGTATGAACTTTCCATTGAGTTTCTGATATGGCCACATAAGGATAACCCGGTCCAGAAGCGTATTACTCGACCGGCAAACCACTCGAATTACTCGCACGTCGACATGACTCCGTCGACATGCCCAAATCGACTTCCCAAAGGTCGATTCTACTAAGAGCAATCAAGAAGAAGCCGACTTTCACTAATCGACATCAATGAAAGAGGAACAGCAAGAGTACAGCTCCCGGTCATCCAGATATTCTAAGTCGACCCCCAGAAGTCGACTGAACTAAGACGACTCTCTGAAGACGACTCCGCCTCAAAGAACTAGTCGAGCGTAGCCTCCGAATCCGCACATATCCATGAGTCGACTTCCTAGATCTCGAAGTCGACTTCACATACCTTAAATAACAAAGATGTGATGACGATTCAAAATAACGAAGATGTGATGACGATTCACCACACTTGTAACATATCCAAAGCCCTCCACATTAGGAAAGATAAGAAGGAATCTCGCGATGACTCAGCAACAAAGGGAAGACGAATCGACAGGGGCATTTTGGACCTTCTAGGTCCACCGACTTGGGCATTTTGGGCACTTCACGTAAGTATTCCCTCCTATATAAAGGAGATGAGGTAACCCTAAAACCCTAACTCTCATTCATTCCCACTCTCCCCCATAGCTGCTGCGCAGCCTCTCTTCATCACTCTCATACTGACTTGAGCGTCGGAGGCTCTACGCCGGAAACACCTCCGGCGTTGAGTTTTTGCAGGTATTCTTGCGGTCTAGCAACGGTTTCAAGACGGTTCAAGCAGATCTGAACTCACAACCACCGGTTTACTACGGATCTAGAAGTAGACCCATCAGTTTCTTAATCTAAGTTGTTTACCGGTAGGATAAAAAAGTTTAATGTTGTTGACAATTTTAAACACTATTGATTTTATAATAACAATATTTATACCCGGATCGTTAAGCCATTGAAGGAATAAGACAATAGAAATAAGAAGTGATCAAATATTAATATTTAGTTGTGTCCCTCACAACTAGATTTGCAAACGAGTCAAGCGGCTCGCAAACGCTCGAATCAAAGCTCAACGAGTTGAGCTCAAGCGACTCGAGTATGTTACCAAGTCGTTCTCGAACTTAAATTTTCTAAGGTCGAGCGACTCGAAATATGCAGTAAAATACTTCGATACCCTTTATATATATGTAATTCACAAAATTGTCATAGGCGCATAATTAATAGTTGTTAAAATTCGATCCAAACTCGAGCTTATCTCGAGCATCGAGTTGATATCGAGCATTTTCATCTGTTTCACGAGTTAAGCTCGAGCTTCATTTTCATGGCTCGTCGAGATCGAGCTCGAGCTCGAGAACTGAAAAACAAGAAATTAATCTATGCTCGACAAGGTACATGCTCGACTCGACTGGACTCGTTTGCAGCCCTACTCACAACACATCTCCAAACTCTTTTACTTTGTTGACGAGCGATCGTCAACATTCCTTAATTTCAGGATTAAGGACTATTTAGGTGAGTTTATGGAGTGTATTTATGTGAGAAATAAAGTAACACGACATTTCGCCGATCTGCAGTGAGATTCTTTCGACGAGGAGAAAGATTCTCCGATGAAAATGACTTGCAATAGTTTTTGGTGTTACAATGGTGGCTGCAAAACGGGCTTAGTTATGCTAGTGTATATTTTGTGTGATGTTTTAGCTTGTTCAGCTTGCTAAGTTTGTTCTCAAATGAGGTGATAAACGGTCACCTTTATACAAGGGAAAAGCAATACGTAATGATGATTATGAGTCACCTCAATGGCTAAGAGGAAAGATGTGTGGAGTCATGAAAAAGTTCATCTTTTGACGATGTGATGTATCTTTGCAAGCCTGCATGAAATGATCGATTTGCGAGACGAGACCTCTGGGAGGTGGTGTCACCAGATTTAACGCTTTTACTAGTTTAGTATGTCAAAGAATATCATACTCTGCAGGACGATCGACAATTGTTGGCGATTGCTGCGACCGATAATGTTGATAGAGGCGATCATGCTACCAGAATATGTTACATTGGGCCGAATATACCACTTTCCTTGGGCTTTTCTCGATAGTGACATGTCATAGCGATAATGGGCCAGACCTCTGTCGTAATCTCATGGGTCTCTAAAGGATGTTTAGTAGGGATATACAATAGGGAAATCCTAGGTTTTCAAGATGCCAAGGGGATAGTAAGATCGCAAAGGGAACCTAGACAGGCTGTACATAATCACCGCCAATATCTGGGAGGTTCATTTGTATGGGATCGACACCGAATATTTCCAAAAAATGAGATTGCAATAACATCTCGTTCGTGAATAGTGGCAGTTTAAATAGGATATAACACATCTTTTATGGGACAGATGGCATCCCCTAGAAGAGATACGTGTAAACGTTCTCGATAATCAATGCCCTTAACTTCATTTTGAGGGATACTACCTTAGACTTTAAATAGGGGTGATATACCATTACTTTCCCTTATTGTCTTGCTCATAAAATCTCTTTAAAAAAATCTCCAAAATTCCCAAAAGCAAAAATGTCGGAAAGCAGCCATGATTTTGATATGGAGGCAGTAGAGGAGACTTTGAGAGGCAATCGAGGTGGTCAAATAAGGGATCTGATCACTACGGCTAGTGGGATCCATGAAATGTAGGCATGGATTGAGGATGAATCCTTTAGGTTGACACCAGAAGGCTTTTGGAGAAGGCCTCCATTAGAGGATCTGGATAATATGGAGTCTGATGTACTTGACGAATTGTACACGACTCAACTTAGCCTATCCAGTGAATAATTTGAGTAGATTTACGAGCAATCCCAGTTATGAGCACTGGAATGCTTTGAAAATGGTACTTAAGTACTTAAAGTACACCTTTGAATATGAGTTTAAATACTCGAGATACCCAGCTGTACTTGAAGGGTACTGTGACGCAAGCTGGATAGCAGATTCGAGAGGTTAATTTTCACTCTACGAGCGAGAGATGTTTTCTGTATCGGAGGAGATGCTGTTTTGTGGAAATCTACAAAATAAACTTATATAGCTCGGTCAACCATGGAATCAGAGTTCTTCGCTTTAGATAAAGCTGATGAAGAAGTCGAGTGGCTTCAGAACTTTTTATCCGATATGCCATTCTGGAATAAGCCTTACCTCATGTGATGAGTCACTGTGATAGCCAAGCTGTTATAGGAAGGAACAAAGCAACATGTATAACAAACAGTCTAGACATGTTCATCGCAGACATAATACTGTTCGCAAATTGATCACAATAGTATTATTTCCATTGTCTATGTGAAGTCTAAGGAAAATTTGGCTTATCCTTTTACTAAAGAAATGAATAGAGATTAATCGAGAATATTTTTAGAGCGGATGGGCTTAAAAATCCACAATGAAAAGAATAGTCATAGTGGTAACCCTACCTTGTTGAATGGAGATCCCATGAACTTGGTTCAAGGGGAAAACCAATTTATGAAAATTAAGCTGAGCACTTGGAACATAAGAATCTCTGAAGCAATTCCCTAAAGCAATCTAAGTGCAATATTACATGTTGATTGTGGTGAGGATAAGTCATATGGACATTTAATGAATCCCTAACTTCTTAGAGGTGGAGTAATACATGATACTCTTACTAGGGAGGTCACATATATAAGTGTGAAGTGAGGGCCGCTTCAAATATGAACTTGTGAATCCAAAATGTTGTCCATGACTAAAACAAACATAACAATAGAACGTAATGGAGTTAAGGCTCTATTGTGTGAATGTCTTTGTCTGGGTGTATACTATGCATGAATAGTTCAAGGTATTTTGTGCATTAAACCGCTAGTACATCCGATGATGTTTACTAAGAGAGGTTCAAAGCCACAAGCTACCTTTTTTGATGCGATAGAGTCTAGTGAAGATTGAACACAAGAGTCTGCATACATTTAATTTACACTCATAGAGGGAATTGTTAAATTAATTATTGAGTGTCAATGTTGTTAGATTTATTATGGAGTGTAAAATGTTGAGGGACCCCACTTGAAATTGTCCACTTGGTCTAAGTCAATTCAATTGCGTTAGGAAATGAAATTGAGTAATTGAATAACAGTAATACTGTAACAACATGATCAAAATTTCACTTGTCCTACAGCAATTTGCTCACTTGATCAGAATCCACTTGCACCCTCATCTCTCTCTCTCTCTCTCTCTATATATATATATATATATATATATATATGTATAAAAGGACTGGTTCGAATAAAATCTTGTCCTAGTGTGAGAATCGTGAGAACCATATTTGATGCTATTTTTAATTGTATATCATGCTATTTTTAATGAAATTCATCCTGGTTAAAAATAGCACAAAACACAATCAATCATAACACTACGCACAATTAAAAATAGCGGTTCTAATGGTTCTCACAATAAGACTTAGTTCTCATTTGAACCACATCATATATATATATATATAAAATTTCTCTGTGTGTGTTTGTGTGTGTGTGTGTGTGTGTTTTCAGTTGTAGAACATAAAAACAAATAGCAGTGAAAATTTTGTTACAAGAATGAAGAGGAATTAAGATAAAAAAGAAAGTGAGATTTTCTTTTTAGTCATTCTAATTTGTATGTGTCCAGTTCTCGACTCCGTTCTAGTTCGCCGGAGCTCGTAAGACTGGTGTGTTACAGCCTTCGAGATGTTGTCGTTTTATCTTTAGGACTATACGCCTGAACCGTCAACACTACACGGGGCGTATTTATCTTGCAGAAAGAGTTTACTCGCCTCGACTATAATCTTTCTGTTTTTCAAGCTGTAATCGATTTTCATTTCTATTGTAATTTTCTAGTTTTTGTTCGTTTGTAACAACTGAAAAATACACTTCAGTTTGTAGGATTCTTATGTATTTCAACACTCATTTTTTGTAACATTTGGTACACCGATTGATAAAAGAAAATGAACAATTAATTGGAAATGTAGTTGTCATTTCAAGATGAATAAAAAAAAAATAATAATAACACAACCATGACCACTTTGGATACAAGATATCTAAAAGTATCCAAATATTTTTAATTCAATCATCTTTTTTAACCCAACTATAACTGAACATCACTATCTTTAACATTATTAATATAATTAAATAACATCAATCAATCATTCATACATATCACATCAACTTTAATTCATTATTTATTTACTCACATAATTTTAACTAACCATAATTACTCGTCACTTCACATCATCTCTCTCATATGTTTATATCAAATAAATTTTAATTATTTTATTTTAAAAATTTTTAATATATCTACTAACAGCTAATTATACTACATTTTTTTTAAATTAACCAAATGAAACTAAAAAATCCAAAAAAAAAAAAAATATAATAAATTGTATCGAATCATCCCCTAAGCGTCTGAGCAGTGCGCTTGTGGTGGGAGCAATNAAAAAAAAAAAAAGGACAAGTGAGGTAAATTTGCAAAAGTAAACGTAGGGGCGTTTTGATCCGCAATGTACGGAGTATGTGTTGAGCAAAGAAGGCTTCAAACGTTCTCATTCTTAATAAAGAAGAAGAGGGTAGATATTAATGTGCAGAGTTTTAAGGAACCATGCTTTTTTTATTTTTTTCCCTACGCACTCTCCACATGATTTTCTTCTCTTGTGCATGACAACATTAACACGCAGAAATTACATTTGTTGATCCTTTCACCTTCTTCTACCAATTGAGTTGACTCACAGACACCGCCATCAAATTCCTCGTTGCCATTTCCCATCTTCTTTCAAAACAACCACATGCAATTTTGACACTTGAAAATTGTGGTGATAATTTGATTCATCCTCGCGTTTACTACGGTTTTTCTCCAATTAGCTTTTTCATCGGTAAATAGATTTCATCCGTTTCGGCGCAGGAGGGGCTTTTTGGTAGGTTGACGAGATTATTCTGTTTCTGGGGGATCGTCAATCTGGGAAGGTGACGTGATGTCCGAAAAATTGGTGAATGAAATCGACAAGGGCTTGCTCAGATGATGAAAATTCTCGAGGATTAGGGATTTTTAGAGATTTTACATAGGTGTTTGATGGGGAATACATGCGTAGGCCCTAACAAATTAGGGAACAATGGTTTCTTTCAATCCGTGACAGCTGCTGTCTGGAGACCCCGTCATCCCGAGACTCTCCCGTCCCCAAATCAAGACAAGGAAGCCAGTAACAGCCACCACAAGGACAAAGACAAGGAGAAAGAGAAGGAAAATCACAAAAACAACAACGAGAGCTCCGTGAATTCAGGCGGCAAAGGCTCGGATTCGACACACTCAGATGTGCAGAGCACTCCTCCGACTCCAATCAAGATTCCGGGAGCAGTCGATCCCCAGAAGCCCTGCAATGTTGAGTCGAGAACCGAAAAGCCAGCAGAAGGGGTAAAGCAAAACAAGCCCACACATATAAAGCGAGCCTCGAGCGTGGGCCTTCAGGTCGAGTCAGTCTTGCAGCGAAAAACCGAGATTCTGAAGGAGAAGTACAGTCTTGGGAGGAAATTGGGGCAGGGGCAGTTTGGGACAACTTTCTTGTGTGTTGAGAAGGGGAGTAACAAGGAGTTTGCCTGCAAGTCTATTGCTAAGCGGAAGCTGACGACTGAGGAGGACGTGGAGGATGTGAGGAGAGAGATTCAGATAATGCACCATCTGGCGGGACACCCGAATGTCATATCGATTGTTGGGGCTTACGAGGATGCTGTTGCAGTTCATGTGGTTATGGAGCTGTGTTCGGGAGGGGAGCTTTTCGATAGGATCATTCAGAGGGGGCACTACACGGAGAGAAAGGCTGCTGAGCTGGCGAGGTTGATAGTGGGCGTGGTGGAGGCGTGCCATTCGCTTGGGGTTATGCATAGGGATTTGAAGCCGGAGAATTTCTTGTTTGTGAATGAGGAAGAGGAGTCGCCGCTCAAGACTATTGACTTTGGGCTCTCGGTTTTTTTCAGGCCAGGTATTCTTGTTTGTGCAGTTTGTAGCCTTTTGTAGTTTCTGTCTATGTGATTATCATGTTGAGAGATGATTGTGGCTTATGTCCTGTCTAGCAAGTTATAAATTTATTAATATACTCATGAGATATTTGATAAAATGTCAGTTGTCATTGTCTCTGTAGTCATTTTCTTCTATTGTAGAATTAAAATGGCGTCTGAGATTTTTCTGTTTGGCCTGTATAAAAGATTGCATAAAGTCACCTGAGTATGCTACTTTATTGTCCCAAGTTCATATAGCTATCATGGAATAATTTCAGAGTTCTGTTAGACATTTGAATACGTGGAGGCATATATTAATGATGATATATGAGGAAAATGCAATGTGTGCCTTTAAATTAATGTCATTGCATCTGCTAAATTTTTGTTTCTATCTACAAGGGACATCTCTAAGCTGTCTGCCTAATTCCTTGTTTTTCATCATTCCTTTATGTTTTGATCAAACGCAATTTTTTCCTTCTCAGGTGAAATATTTCATGATGTGGTTGGGAGCCCATATTACGTGGCCCCCGAGGTACTAAGAAAGAGTTACGGCCCAGAATGTGATGTTTGGAGTGCTGGAGTTATTATTTACATTTTGTTGTGTGGAGTTCCGCCATTTTGGGACGGTAAGCTTGTTTCTTTCTGGCAAGACTTCATTTTTTTTAATCAGTTGTGAAGTCTAATTTTCTTGTATGCCAATGTGTACTCGGTATCAGAAACGGAGCAGGGAATTTTCGAGCAGGTTTTGAAAGGGGAGCTTGACTTTGTATCTGAACCGTGGCCCAGCATATCTGATAGTGCAAAAGATCTTGTCAGACGAATGCTTGTGCGAGACCCGAAAAAGCGGCCCACAGCTCATCAAGTTCTTTGTGAGTGTAATTTTGTATGAATACCCTGACATTTCTGAACTTCGAGAATGCATTTTATACATGCGTTACAGATATTGAGTGGAAGTTAGCGCTGTAAATGTGAATTGGCATTATTGGCTTACGGGTTTGAATTACTTTGGAAGAGAACAACTGTATGATGAATCAGACATTCTAGAATGTTCTTATTGCATTCTACAACCAGAATGGATAACTTTCCGGATAGATAAAAAATGATATGAATATGTTTTTTGCAGGCCATCCATGGGTACAAGTCGACGGTGCAGCACCAGATAAGCCTCTCGATTCTGCTGTTCTGACTCGTCTGAAGCAGTTTTCTGCTATGAACAAACTCAAGAAGATCGCAATCAGAGTGAGTACTAACATATCAACTTATAAAATTTGTTTATGGGCTATATAATAGGTCGAATTCATTTCTCGCTAGTATGGTTTCTTTTTATGTCATCACTGAAAATAAATTTGGATGAAATTGTTTTTACTCCAAGATTTGTTCTTTTACCAGTATAACTCTGGGATGCTTCTTACTAAAGTTGGGAACACTATTCGACTATTGTAGGTTATCGCCGAGAGTCTTTCGGAGGAGGAAATTGCCGGACTGAAAGAAATGTTCAAAATGATAGATGTGGACAATAGTGGGCAGATTACCCTTGAAGAGCTGAAGACTGGTTTGGAGAGAGTTGGTGCGAATCTCAAAGATTCAGAAATAGTGGGCTTGATGCAAGCTGTAAGTGCAAAACTAGTTGTAATTTCTTAATACTGGACAGCAGTTCTTATTTGGTACATTTAAAAGAGATAACGAAGTAAAGGACTATACATGCCTAAAGATTTACTCGAAAATTTGATGTAAGAAAAAAAAAAAAATCATACGCTAAATGAGGGATGATGAAATCGAAAAAGTGTTTGTACCTTAAACTCACAACCCTTTTACATCCTTTGAAATCCAATTTAATGCAAAAGCAACTGCAGGGGAAAAGTTCTTGAACCATGAGAATTTTATTTAAACCATAAAGGTTAACTGAGAGTTTGCATTACAAGAGCCTTCCCACTTCTGTATAAAATTCGTGAAAATTATTATACTTCTCATGATAATGCAGGCTGATGTTGATAATAGTGGAACCATAGACTACGGGGAGTTTGTTGCAGCCATGTTGCACCTAAATAAAGTCCATAGAGAAGACCATATGTTTGCAGCATTTTCGTACTTCGACAAAGACGGTAGCGGGTACATCACAAAGGATGAGCTTCAACAAGCTTGTGAGGAATTTGGCCTAGGAGAAGCCCACATTGACGAAATCATCCGTGAAGTTGATAAGGATAATGTATGTTCTCTCAACTCCTTCAAATAATGTCTGCTTGTTTGGATACTGCAAATTTTGAAAACCTTATTAGTTCTTCTTTTTTTTTTTTCAGGATGGCTTGATCGATTATAGTGAATTTGTGGCTATGATGCAAGACACCGGTTTTGGTAACAAGGGATTGCAGAACAGTATAAGCATGGGGCTAAAAGGGCGCTCTTAGGTCTGGTAATCCTTGATTAGCATTCATATTTAAGTTCTCACACTCGTGTAAATCAGTGTAATCAACGCAGAGACAAAATTCGGAGTTCAATTTGTTGTAAAGATTTAGTGAGGATCTACAGCAACACAGGGTCTTTCTTTAGTTTGATTATTTGCGCATTGTTAGGTTGTTGGTCTGGTTCCAGTAATTACTGTCTATAGTTGAGCCATAATCAATTTGGTTACCAAGATTTTTGGCTGTCTGTATTCTGTAGTGTTGATGATTTATTTAGTCAGTAATTTGGTTATGGAACAGACACCTCTTTTTTCTTTTCCTGTGCAAATTTAGTGACTTGATCAGTGTAACTCGTCTGGTGTATAAATTATAAACTAGTTAAGTAGCAAATTTTGCAATTTAAATTCTCTACATAAAATTTCATTTCTCGTATTTCTTGTATTCTAATAATGTACACTAGTACAGTACCCGTGTACTACACGGGTGTTTATAAAATAATTAAATGTACAATAAAAAATGAAAAGAAATTATATATTTTGTTGAAGTTGGAAAAAATAAATAAAGAACAATATATAACAACTTATAATAAATAACTAAGTGAATTAACAATATTATTTTAAATTTTAAAAATAATTTATATACGTCATTTGGATTTTATTTATAATATTTTTATTTAAAACACATAAGGGAATAATATGAGGAAAGCACAAAATTTGAAAAGTAAGATTATATGCACATTATAGAAAGAAGATAATAAATAGATTTATATGGAATGATTGAAATATATTAAATAAGTGTATATATATGGTAATCCGAACCTAAGTTATTTGTCATAAAAAATAAGTAACTTTTATCCAAGCCATATTACAAAGCATAATATTTTGCCATGTAAGATTACGAAGCATGCAAAACTGTCACTTAAGCTCAGCGCGTTCTGAAATTATATATAAGGGTGATTGCAGACCCCAAGTTATAAATGTAAATTTATGTGTAGAGTTCGATAAAGGTAGGTTGAAAAAAAAAAAAAAAGAGAAGGAAGATATTCAATAGCATAACTGTGACTTTTATGAGAGGCTGCTTAGCTCTGATGGGTCAAGAAGAGATGTTGATGTTGGGTTCGATAGTACCGTACGGGCTGTACGCAGCGGAATTTAAAATTTTTAAAGTAAGTATTTATCGTATAAATACAACACCCGTACATACTAATTGCGAATTAACTGATCGTCATCTTTAAAACATGCATCATATACAAATTTTGATTTGTTACTATAAAGTAAATACTAGTAAAAATATTTACCGAATGTCTTGAACTCCTTCACTATTGATGATGGATGAGGGAATCGGTTCCCGGTTGTAACTTCAACGACTTGAGGTTACTCGCTAGAGGAATCCAAGTGTCTTCCCTCTAAACGTATCCACCCTATGAAGCCCGGTTCCGACGACTTTCCTTCGCTAGTAGAAAAGACTCGGTTTTCTTGTATAGGAATATTTATGAATTTTATTTGGGAATTTTAAGAACTCTTTCTTGAAGTTTTATGAAGAACACTTTCTTCTCTTTCTAACACTTAGAAATTTAGGATCAAAAACTTCACTTAAATGCAAAACCATTTTGCATATATTTATACTAAACATTTTAGCATAAAATAATCAACATTTAGTAATATTAAATAAAATCAAATTTTATTTAAATAGTATTTACTAACTTTTGACTTTGAAAATAATAAGATATGTTAAGTAGTTCAAACAACCATCAACAACCATTTTATTATAATCATATTTATTATTTTAATCCTTAAATCATATTTAAAGATATAAATAATAATTGGATAATAAATCTTGAGAATCTTTCTCAAGACTTTATTATTATATCATTTTCCCAATATTATAATAATCATATTATTATTATTTTGGATTTTTGAAATTTAAAATCCTATTTTAAAATTCAACTTTATTAATTTAGTAATTACCTTAATTACTAAAGTAATATCCAAAATGTAATTAATCAATCTTATTGATTAATATATTCCTTTAATTGATATCTAATCAAATTAGATATTTATCAATTAATTCTAACCATTAGAAATACAATCTTTACCTTTGTTCATAATTAGTGTGACCTTTTAGGTTCACCTTAATACTAGTAGTGGGTTTACAACACTTTGTAATTTGAGTTAAATCTTATTAACTCTTATTCATGAATTAACCCTTTAATTTATGAACCCACATATCATGGTAACACCTAGCAAGTAGCATGAATCTAGTATTAAGTGAATAGCGAGTAAACCTATTCCGATTACAACTCCATACATGTAAAATCCTTTCGACATCTAATTTCCCGATTAAGTCTTGGGTATGATTTTGTCGAAACCCAAATTGACTTAATAACTATGATTCTATTTCATGTTTATTAACCCGGTTATGAATCACTATTCATCTCTGCCTTGGCCAAGGACTTTGGATTAATAACTATGAAACACATAGGAAATTCACTTATCTTCATAAGTGTCGAATCCTTTATTGGCCACTAACAAACTTCCATACATATTAACATAATACCCAACTTATCCCTTTAAACGATAGTGCTAGCTACCAAAAGGATAAATCAAAGTAGAATGTAATATGCACAAAGTTACCATTGTGCCTCAAGTCTTAGGATTAGTCATGTACTATTGTAACATGAAAATTCTTATTCGACTGAATAAATTCTTCATTAAGAATTTTCATACGGTCATGTTCAGTGAACTTGTTCTCTAACAAGCACCCACATAAATGTACTTACGTCTTACGCTAATGTTGATGGAATGCAACATTCTTGTCCAACAAGCATACAAACTATGTGCAAGTCTTTTATGGATTATTCGATATCCCATCTCGAAACATCCATCGACTTGGAACTGTATTTAAGATCACGGCTTTCAAGGTATGTTCCATGATCACCATCTCTATGCGCAACCATACCTTATAACCATAAGTGATCTAGGGATTTTATCTTAAGTGCAATTATAAGATAAATGCTTTCTCTTAAGATAAAGAAATGCCTTATTCATAATATAATTCCAATAGACTGTATTTACAAGTAGAATACGTCCAATTAGATTGGAACGCCGGGTACCCTACTCTAACAATCTCCCACTTGCCCTAGTTCCAATCACTCATGTATCTAAGACCCATCTTCTCAAGATGTCCTTCGAACACTTTCTGTGATAAGGGTTTAGTTAAGGGGTCTGCTATATTTTCTGCTGAGTCGACTCGCTCCATCACGACATCGCCTCTACCAATGATTTCTCTAATCAAATGGTATCGCCTCATAATGTGTTTGGATTTTTGATGAGATCTTGGCTCCTTTGCTTGCGCAATAGCCCCATTGTTATCACAATAAATCATTATTGGATCAACAACGGATGGTACTACACCCAACCCTTGGATAAAGTTCCTTATCCAAACAGCTTCTTTTGCAGCATCAGATGCAGCAATATATTCAGCCTCTGTCGTAGAGTCAGCAATTGTTTCTTGTTTGGAACTTTTCCAACTAACTGCTGCTCCATTCAGAGTAAATAAGTATCCAGACATGGATTTATAGTCGTCTTTATCGGACTGAAAACCAGAATCAGTAAAGCCTTCTAGTTTCAGTTCTCCATTGCCGTATACCATAAAGATATCCTTAGTCCTTCGTAAGTACTTAAGAATCATCTTAACGGCTTTCCAGTGTTCTTCACCTGGATTAGACTGATATCTGCTCGTTACACTAAGTGCATGAGCCACATCAGGTCTTGTACATAACATTGCATACATAATGCTACCAATAGCTGATGCATAAGGTATATGACTCATCCGTTCTCTTTCTTCAGGTGTCTTTGGAGACATCGTCTTAGAAAGAGAAATCCCATGACTCATTGGAATATATCCTCGTTTGGATTCTTCCATGCTAAACCGTTGTAGCACCTTATTTATGTACGTCGACTGGGATAGTCCGATCATCCGTTTAAATCTATCCCTATAGATTTTTATCCCTAGGATAAAGGATGCTTCTCCCAAGTCTTTCATGGAAAACTGTTTTGACAACCATGTCCTAGTTGACTGCAACATCCCTACATCATTCCCAATGAGTAGGATGTCATCAACATATAGAACAACAAATGTAACTGCACTCCCACTAACCTTCTTATAAACACATGGTTCATCCGGATTCTTATGAAAATCAAACGTTTTGATCGTTTCATCAAACCGAATATTCCAACTCCTCGAAGCTTGTTTAAGTCCATAAATAGACCTTTGAAGTTTACAAACCATTTGTTCACTCCCATTGGATATGAAACCTTGCGGTTGTTTCATATAAATGTCTTCCTTAATATTTCCATTAAGAAAAGCAGTTTTCACATCCATTTGCCATATCTCGTAGTCATAATACGCAGCTATGGCTAGCAATATCCGAATAGATTTAAGCATTGCTACTGGTGAAAAAGTTTCCTCATAATCAACACCTTGTTTTTGAGTATAACCTTTAGCAACCAGTCTTGCTTTAAAAGTATTTACTTCTCCATCTACACCACGTTTTCGCTTGTAAACCCATTTACAACCTATGGGTACAATACCCTGTGGTGGATCAACCAAAGTCCATACTTTGTTTGAATACATGGAATCTATTTCGGATTGCATAGCTTCTTGCCATTTATCTGAGTCAATGTCCAACATTGCCTCATCATAGCTTATTGGATCATTATCCAAAAGGAATCCCTCTTCATTGTCTTTTGACAATAGGTATAGCCTTTCAGGCGCCCTAGAAACCCTTTCGGATCTCCGAAGAGGTTGTGTTTTAGATGGTCCAGTCTCTACTGGTATGTTTTCCGTGGTACTTAGTGGAATTTGTGGTTGTTCTTCATTAAGTTCTATGACTCCGCTATTCTTTGAGATAAAATCTTTCTCTAAGAATACAGCATTCCTCGAAACAAACACCTTTTGTTCAGAGGGATCATAGAAATAGTATCCAATAGACTCTCTAGGATACCCCACAAATTTACATAAGATGGATCTCATATCCAACTTACCTCCCACTAACTGCTTTACATAAGCAGTACAACCCCATACTCGTAAATATTTGTATGAGGGTGATTTACCACACCATATCTCATAAGGTGTGCTGGGTACAGCTTTACTTGGCACTCTATTCAAAATATATGCTGCTGTTTCTAAGGCATAGCCCCAGAATGAAAGAGGTAGATCAGTGGTACTCATCATCGATCGAACCATGTCCAACAATGTTCGATTCCTCCTTTCTGAAACCCCATTGAGTTGTGGAGTTCCAGGAGGCGTCCACTGTGAGACAATCCCATTATCTTTTAAATAATCAAGAAACTCATTAGTCAAATATTCACCTCCTC